TGGAAATGCCAAGGAAAGCAGCTTTGAAACACACCACCACCAGCCACTCTAGTCAGTATTAACAAACACATTGTAGTGACATAAAAGCACAGTCATCCATTTTAACAGTTCTGACAGTTTCATTCAGAATGCTTCTATGGCAATATTTAAATAAATCGCCAGCCTCTCAAGAAAACATCTGATTGAAAAAGCTTTGAAATGTGCTATGAAAGCATGCCTGTGTCCTAGTATAAAATGCTTTACTGGTTTAAATGAAGAAGAGCAAATATAACCAAAACCTCCAAGAATGCAAAGACCCTGAAAGATTATAACAGTACAGGAACAGAACAGAAATGAGGAAGGGGATGAATTAGATCTGAAGGAACAGCTAATTTATTAATTCTTCACTACTAATTCAGGATTTAAGTATCAAAAGGTAAATTATTCACAGGGGTCAATGACACTGATTACCAGAAAGAGACAATATTTATGAGAAATTGTTGGCTTATACTTTACCTCAGCTGGTATATTTATAAAGGACTTTTTGGTTTTTATTCCAATAGAAATAAAAAAAGTTATTGAGAGAACATTTACTCCCTTCCACATATTTGCATTTCAAATCTTGCAGCATTGTGCTAGGGCATGATCAGAAATCATTCCAGCTGAGCAGAACAATTGCTTTAATCATAGTTATTGTAGCCTCTCTTGAACTTAAATATAGTTATTAAAATTTAAAGAAAGCAGCAACCCAAACCCCTCAGGTATTCTAAGGTGCACAAGGACAATAGCTTGATGCTTGATTACACACAGGGAGGTTGTTTGGACTGATGTCAGCACCTGCATGAAACACTTGTGCTTTGTGCCCAAGCTAGACAGCTGTGGCGGTGGCTGGCTGGAACAAAATGTTCTTTCAGAACAAGTAATATTTCATCTCTCATTGTCTAAACAACATGATCCTGCTGGTCCATACAACTCATTAGCAAGTCTAAATAACTAGACAGTGTCAATGATGTATAGGCCTCCATCTCCTAGCCATTTGCTACAACCCTTACTTCTTTCCTGCAGTGCAGTCTGGTTATGGGATACAGCCATCCATTACACTCAAGTCAGGTTACTTGAATTTGTTCACAGAATTTGGGGGGAAAAAAAGAATTATGGAATTTTGCACTGCACAAAATTCAGGTTTGTGACTCACTGGGGGCCCAAGACCAAAGCAAGAACCACCACTCTGTGGAATACTGCCAGCTAAACCCCTTTGTTCTGATATAACACAACTTCTAAACTGCATCTTATTTGGCAACTCCTCCATGTCACTGTGTGAACAAAAGCTGATGAGTCATAGAGAACTGGAGAGAAAGTGCTCACGTTTGAGAGGAAGGAGTTTTACAGTCCAGCAAAACTCCAGATGAAGGTTCTGAGAACATCATTACTGGAAGAACAGCTGTGTAAACACAAAGGAAAATATATATGGAATAAATTCATCAGCTTCTAAACAGTTACACTATATTTGCATCAGTGTAATGGAGAAGAAGCTGGCCACTGTGCAAAAAAAGTACTTTGTCTTAGATGACATCAAGAGTGCAGCTTTGAACCCAAAAAGAAGGCAATTGCCTAGAACACTGAATAGCCTGAGAACAACCACAGCTGTATTTATTTCAAGTACAACACTGACTGCAGTCTCCTCTTTTCTACTGCAATTCAAGGAAGGATCAGAGGATATGGGGTAATAAGTAATGTATTCTGCCAGCAGTAACAAGGATATTAAGGTTCTTAAGATCCCCAGGCACCAGTGAAGACCACTTTATTTGCAGGACAAAGATACTCCATTTTGTTCATAACAAGCCTCATAATTCAACTCTTCAAAGCAGCTGGACATGCTTCTAACTCAGTTTGAAAATGTGCAGAAAAGAGTATTATTGAATGAGTATTCTTGCATGCCAACACTGAAATCATTAACAGAAAATGTGTGTCTGATTGGGGCAGAATTCATGTCGAGGCTGGGGTAGTGTGTGCCTGAGGCAAGGCATGGTGACATGACATGCCTTTGTTTTCCTAGCACAAAGGACCGAAGAAGTCTATGTAAGCATTAGCCAAATAAAGGCAGCTGATTCCTATCTATTTACCTATTAAGCCAGTGGCTTGGAGCTGGATTTATTTTGCTGTTCTTACTGTTTATTGCAGCTCAAGGAATGACAACATCACTTGTCTTCATCATTTAAACAAAGCACGTAAGCAGGAAAAAAAGAGGTAAACCAGAGCAAACTTTGGACTCTCTTGACACATATAGCCTCAATCTGACCGTAGCTAAGAAAAGAAGATGAGGAAAAGTCATGGAAGTAAACATGGACATCAAAACTGTGCATAAGCCACAGAATCATGACTTCAACACCAGTGCTGGAATCACAGTGCCACCTAAGGGGTTATTTCAGGCAGGGTTAAGAATGGGAGGTAGGGTGGGCAGGTTGAAGTCCTCCTCCACCCGCCTCTTTCTCCCCACACTAATTCTACACTGGAGTCTTCTAACACAATTATCACTGTATCTTCATCCAATTCTGACCCTTCTCCATTGTCAGTTGAAGAAGTAGCATCTCAAACTGCAAGTCCAATCCTACCAAGCAGATTTAACCCTACACTTAAAAGTGGGGAGAGGGGGTGCGCATCACAGCCTGGAAAGGGTTCTTCATATTGTAATTTGGGGGTACAGGGTCAAATTTTGTTGTTTGGATTAATAAGCTTTCAAATACAATACTAGCAGTTAAACCATGAAACTGGAGCACTGTTATATGAACATTTGCATTCCCTCAACAATGTCAAAGATCCAGCAGCATCTCTTAACACAGTTTTCAGATATCACAGTACAGAACACAACACAAAGCTGTACTTTTACTTGCTAAGTAATATTATGCTTATCATGATCCCATAAATATCAGGTTTATTGGTAAGATAAAGGCATGTGATCTACACCTCATATATTATCCTTTGTACACCCAAAGAAGTGAGAGCAGTACAGTTATTACCTTATCATATTTATCATTATCTTCTTCTCTTCCACCTTCAGCTGTAGCTTTAACACAGCAAGCATATTAAAAAAGCAGTTACCTTGACTGTGGAACAGCTAGAGTTTACACATCTCTCACCACGGCACAGCACAGTGTTTCATTCTCTCTTTGTGACCTTCAACAGGAAAAGAATTAATCAATATGGTGTACTTAAAAACAATTCCAGCCCTTTACATGTCTCTTCTCACAGAATTAGAAGAATCAAGATCAGATCAAAGGAAGGAAGTATCAGCTTTAGCACTAATATTTTTTCACATTTTGTTAATATTTTTACACCAATATTTACATTAATATTTTGTTATCCTCAGTAATTTTACCTTCCTAGTTACAGAAGTCACACATAAAGTGTGAGACAATGGATGCTTGAAAAGATTAAAGTTAAATCTTTCTGTGCCTGTTGTAGGTCTACAGTTCCTCCCTGACATATCTACAGTATATGAAGAACCTAAATGGAGCCTTGCAATTCTGAGAATTTGTCTATTTTTTCTGAGTTGGTCTATTTAAAAATCTTGTCTTGCAGAGTAGTGTATTTTAGGAGTAGTGTCTGATGCCATATTCTCTAGAAACAGCAAAACACAGACTCTTCAGAGAAATATTTGAGATATGATATGTACAGGCTGTGAATAGCTTTAATCAGTTGACCCATATGTCCCCCCCAGGTGCCTCAAAAAAAAAAAAAAAAAAAAAAAAAAAAAAAAAAATTTTCTTTCTCAATAAATGTGGGTAACTCCCCATCACATTTTTCTATTTATGAATCTCTTAAAATTGTCAGAGATAAAAGCAGAAATGAAAGTATAATGAAAGTATGACCTTAGGATGTTTCACAAAAATATTCTTTAGCTCTGACAGATGTGAAAGATACAATATTGTTACCTCAGGAAGGAGAACTGATCCCCCTAGAGAAGTCAATATCTAATAATCATCTAATAATCACATGAAAAGTTTTATATACCTTAAACTAGTTTGTATAACCTTTTTGGGTAGCAACATAATATTTTTTTCAGTAATTTCTTTCAAATTCTTCCAGAGAGCTTTTGATGACTAAGAAATCACCCTCAATTTTAACACACTAACAGGACTTTCATTAACACATTAATGGGACTGAACATAAATCAATCACTTGCAAGATCAATCCTGTCTCTCGCAACGATGTCTCTGAGGTAGATTTTTATTTTCTTATTTAAAATATACTGGGGAAATGACAGGCACAACTCTTGATATATGCACACTATAACAATGAGAGTGTTTGCAACAAGAGAAATTTGAAAATTTAAAATTTAACTAACTGTATGAAATTCTGGGGGATACTTCCAGAAAACAGTGTCACATACTTTGCCACTAGAGATAGTCAAGTTACTAAAGAGATTAAAAGTTCATTCATATATCTTTATATTTTTTGCAATGAATATAGGCTTATTCCTGTTCCTTTGCAACAAAACCTTCTGTTGCTCATTCCTCCTACAAACCACAGCCAAATCCAGAGAAAATCCAGAGATCATTTGTTAGTACTGCTCCTTCTTGCCTTCTAGTACAAAGTGTTCAGAGAAGACTGTGAGCACTAGGAATGCAGATGGTTTAATAGCTCTTTTGCACGCAGTAAGATACCCACAGCATTTTCACATTTGGGAAGGCTGACTGATCCATACTAAATCCTAGTTAAATAATAGAAGGAAACCTCTAGCTCTTTATATTCACCTGCCTTGCCAGGGGCAGGAATTAGAAGGCTCAGAGATTTCACTCCATGCTATACATGGAACATGGAAATGGAGTACAAATGAGAAACACACTTTTCATTTCATGAGTTCCTGAAAAAGCACTAACCCCAGAAGGGGAGAGAGGCAACTTCACAGCCCACTCTCAGATTTCACTAAGCACAACTGACTCCACCCCTCTTAGCCATATATCTACTGTATCACCACATCCAGCCAGGGACCTTGGTGTGCAAAATAGCTGAAAGCTACCCTCAGGATGAGAGCAAGGCAGCTGGTCTGTGGAATTTGGAGTCTGTGCTTCCTGTTCTGTCTTTTCTGCATCTTTCTTCACCAAACAACAGCTAAGAGAAAACTGAAGTTTGTGTCCCTAGTAAGTATGGGAAAATTAAATTTCTTCAAAACCTGTCACTTACTACTCTTTTTGTACTGTAGGGTAGGGAGGAGGGGGAACCTTTTCAAATATTTAAATGTTTCCTCCATATTCAAAATTCATTATTGCATTGTCCAAAAAAAAAAAAAAAAAAAACGAAACCAACTCAATTTTAAGTAAGATTTTATAATTTTGTCTCCTTTGTGCACTCCTAGATGAAGTTACTTTCTGAATGGATACAGAATACTTATTTTATAAACTTTTTTTACCACTGAAGAGTTTGCACTTTCCAGTGGTTTCAATGGACTAACATGCAAAGTAAATTTCAGTATGTGAAACTCAAACAAGTGTACAGTGACACTGAACAAGCAGCATAGAAACCAGCACTGTGAAGCTAATGCTATTTGCAATGATTATGATGTACTATTTCTTTGCAGGAAGTTTGAATCTTATTCTGAACATTACGCACACAAATAAATCATTTATATAATTTTCCCCTGCAGTTTATGATTTAATTTCTCCCTGCTTGGATTAAGAAATTACAATTTCTTAATTTCTAGTGTTAAAATTTAGAATCATATGGCTCATATCTACAGGAGTTATGCTGCAAAGCATACAAAGCAAAGAATTCATCAGATGAATGAAAAAATCCAGTATATCTCTATAAATAATTCTTTTATGTAAGGAAGTTCAATGTTTTCGGAGTAACACTTTAGCCTGTATTTACATATTAGATAACACTTCTATCACCTTTTGTGATGAAAAAGCCAACATATGACTTTTTAAGGCTAATTTCTGCCAAGTAAGAGAACTTCACAGCAGTCCACAGAACTGTTACTTTGTGTAATACTTTGAGTTTTTCCCCTTTGAATTCCAACTTAGTCATACCAAAATACTTATATTCAAATATATCTGCAAAATTACTTACATGCTTCTGTTTGTTTTCTGTTTACTTAATTTTATGGTCTATACCTTCTAAGATACATAAAATCTCTTTAAAATATAATAGGGTATCCTGTAGTTTTTATAACTTACAAAAATTTATTTGAGCTAATTTATTCTCAAATGCCAAAAAAAACCAAACCCAGTTATATTTGTCTAAATAAATTAAACAGGAAATGTTGCTATCTAGATTTAAGGTAAGCATTATTAATATACTTAGCATCTGTCAGATACAGTACTCACTGTCATAGCATATTGCTTGTGACTACACTAATTAATTATAATTACCACAAAAATTACCAGTAACACAAAAGCAATTTCATATGTTTTATCAGGTATTTCGCCATGGTGATCATACCCCACAGGAGTTTTTCCCAACTGATAAGCACAAAGAAATTGCAAGACAACAGGGATATGGCCAACTTACCAAGGTGAGTTTGTTAACCTGGGCCAAGAACTGAAATATTGGAAGATGTTTTGTTGATGTTTGGGGGTTGGCTCTTTGCTTTTGCTTGAAGAAAACCTTTATTAAGTTGCCACTTAAAGACAGCCAAGGAACTTATGAGGAAACTACAGCAACAGCACTCACTAAATTTTGATGAAACTGAGTCAGCCTGTTCTGGTCCAGTGTCAGCATATGCAGAGCTTTTTGACTGCAGACTAGGATCTTCCAGTCTGGGAGGAGCCAGGCACTGGTGACCATCTCAGTTCACCTGAAACCATACAGGAAGCTTTAACCATCAGTAGCAGAAAGTGATGGAAGTGCTTACAGACACAATCCTCTGTCAATCTCTGCTGAATAGGAGTGCTTCCTTACTCATAAGCTGTTAAGATCAGTACAAGCAGAAATTTTTCTTATGTTTCCAAGAAAGTTGACTTAAAACTAAGCTATTTTAGTGCAGGCATCTGTGGACTCAGCTGTTGGTAGTAACCAGAAGCAGCTGAAGCAACCACAGATACTGTATCTGACAGATGCTGTTCCTGCCTTGACTGTAACTTCTATTAGCTGCCACCTCTCACAAATGAAGCCACAGTGAACTGTACTATCAGACTGTAAGGCAATATTTGGACACTGGGTGGTTTTTCCCCCTGCACTGGCAGGACCAACTATGTCTGTGTGATTGTGCTTCACTCCTTTTTCCCCAGATACGTTACTTGGATGGAAAAAGCTTCCAGTTATTTGCCCAGCACTCAGAACCAGGCAGTGACTCTGAAGGAGTTTAGAAGTGCCAGAAGTCTGGTTGTCCCAGACAAATGGTTACAGTCCACATGGAGGCAGACTGTGAAGTGTGTCTCTCCGTTAGGAACACACACCTTATGTCCAGTGGGTCTCTCTCTTAAAAGAACTCGCCAGGTCTCCACCAAAATCAGAATAGAATAAACTGCCAGAGAGGTTCATCTTCCCCACTGTTCTTAGGAGGCAAAACTGGTCTCCAAAGCAAAATCAGGCCGGTTTATGCTTATGTCAATTCCCTTGAAGAAATAGGAGTAACAGAGCAGCTTCCCAACTCAGCTATGAGTCAATCACTCCATATAAATGCTATGCAAGTTCAGCAATCCATGCCAGTTTGCTCCAAGGCATAGAAGACTTCAAGACCCAGGAGTCAGGACTCAACAACATGCATGGTAGGCAAGTTGGGGCAGAAGCCTAAACCACACATATACCCTAGGAAACTGGATGCACAATTCCAGCAAGGGGAAGAGGTGATCATATGCACACACAGTGGGTCCTGAGTAACTCCTAGCTGACTTGGCTTTGAGCAGGAGTTGGACTAGAGACTTCCTGAGGCCCCTTCCAGCCTGAATTATCCCCTGATCCCACAACTTAGAAAATTGCTTTAGGAACAATGAGTAATCACTGTACTTGAGATCCCAGTGTACAGTAATGGTTACATGAACAAAGTGGAATATGTTTAAATACAGGCCAGGAAACACCCTGTACAAGTTAAAAGATGTCAATATACAGACTATTACAGGGACACTGCATGTGATTGAAATGGAGTCACTACCCCGAGGGGTGTTTAAGGAAAGAGTGGAAATGGTACCTAATTCCATGGCCTCTTTGACATGGTAGCATTAGGTAATAAGTTGGACTAAATGATCTCAGAGGTCATTTTCAACCTAACTGATTTAGTGATTCAGTGATTCACATGTCACTGACAATGTGAGTATTCACAAAATTATGTAGGTAAGTTGAAAGATCTTCAGCTACAAGCTACTAAAATGTTGGGACTGGGAAAACTTATTTTGCTTTGAGAGTAGAAAATTGTCATCAGTTTAACACAGAGCTAATATGAATTGATTCCATTTTATGGATTATTATTTAACCATTAATAAGATCTGCGATGGTGAATGTTATTCGAAAGTGTAACAAAATTCAGTGACTGAAAGTTGAGAACATAGTCAGGCGTGAATCAAAAATCAAATCTTTCAGACTATTGATAAAAATCAGCTATTGCAGCAAAATGCCCTAAGGCTTGGAGGACTTTTACTTCGAGACTTCTGTTCTGAAAAAAACTAGATCTTTCCCAGGCTAAAACTGTAGCCCCCATAAGGAGTCACTGGTAATACTCCATGAGATTCATATCCTGGATGTGTCTCCATGGACAGGTGGCTGTTCTGTCTGCACTCCCAGTTAATCAGCTCTGAGACAGCAATAGAGTAGAAAGTAGACAGATGGTGTTGGAACATCTCTATGCCTGCTTTAAGTCTCACTAACTCAGATAAACATACACATAGCTTTCCATCAAGCAAAATACAAAACTGCATCCACCAGGAGTCATATCTAACATTATCCAATACCATACATGCAGCAACTTCAATACTTTCTTTGTCGTGTCTTCTTTCCTAATTCAATTTGAAAAAGAAAAAAAAAAGTCTTTATTAAAATAATATCAAATAATATTGCATTATTTTTTGGTTGTAGAAATGGATGCATAGCACATTTCTTTAGCCTCTTATGCTCTTGTGTTACTTCTACAGCTTGGCATACAACAACAGTATGAGCTTGGCCAGTACATGCGGAGGAGATACTCTCATTTCCTGAGCGTTGTATACAAGCAATGTGAGGCAAGTACTGGATCTGGGCAGGAAGATGTCTTTCATGGTTGTTAATGAGACTTCCTGGATGTGTAAGAGTCTAAACCTGGTACAGTCGGAGAAAATTTAATATCAATTGAAGTTAATGTCATTCCAAAGTATCCCTGAAACTGTAGTTCAGCTTTTTTCCTGATGGTTAACTTAAAACCACATGAAAGGCCTTTAGGCTGCCCACCAGGTTCAGCTCCCTCACTGCTGTATGGGAAATCATCTGTGCCAAATACCTCCAATGCTACACTTCCACATGGAATGCAGATACAACTCAGTTCTCATTTAGGTTTCAGCTTTTCAGTACACATATGATGTCCCAAAGCCTAGAGGATCAAATAGAGTCAATCTCATGCTGTCTACTAGGATTTCTAAGATGTGACCCTGCTGCAGCTCAGTTGCCCAGCAGAGTTTTATTCCAGCTGTAGTCTTTCTCCCTCCTCCTTCTTTCTCATAGTCCTTCATGCCACTCTGTTTTAATGACAACTTCCCCAGTACCAGCCCCTTTTTTTCCTACCAAGAAGACAATAAACTAAACTTAATGAAAGAAATTACCATCCAAAATGTCTCTTTTTCTTTTTCTTTTTTTTTTTCCTTCAGATTTTTGTTCAAAGCACTGACTGTGATCACACACTTATGAGTGCTCAGGCAAGTCTTGCTGGACTGTACCCACCAACACAGGATCAGATTTGGAACCCCAGAATCCTTTGGCAGCCAATTCCAGTTCACACAATGCCACTGTCACAGGATAATGTGAGTATAAACTAGGGGCATCTGCTTCCCCTTGATCATTACTAAAGTGCATAGGATATGAGATGAAGGTGCAGCAAAAGGTGCATGGTAAAGGCAATGAAAAGATCATTGCTACAAGCATTGTGTGGAAAGGCCTAATAAGCTGAATAGAAGTGCTGGCAAGTATTTCCACAGGAATGGACTTGCATATGAGAAACATGATCTTAACAAAATAGGAAGGAAAATGGGAGTACTGGGTATAGAGAAAAAGAGTTCATTTATAAGGTGCGTAAATCACTGTAGAAGTAGATCAGTCCTAAATTTAATGCAAACATGACTTTCTTTGTGTGAGAAAAGAAAACTTACTTAATCTCACTAGTGCTTCAGTATTGCTTAGTCCACAGCCAACAGAAAAGACAAAAGAGTCATTCTGAGACTTACATTATGGTGAGAATTGAGTTACAGGGTTGTTTTTCATGCACTTTGCAGGTCAACGCACATACTCCAAGGATTGGTGAGAAAAGTAAAAGGGGAAAGAAAGGAGGACTCAGAGCTTTAAGCATGAGTTCATAGGGCAATGTATTTTTTCATATTCCTTCCTTCAGCTCCTCACTTTGGAGTTGTAAGGAATCCTGTGGATAGCAGCTCTGTAGCCTGCATATACTTGTCCTATATGGGAAAGCTGTACAGCTGACTGGAGCTGAAATCCTCTGTGTGTGGAAAATCTATGATAAATGTTAAGATCAGGAGTGTGCAGCAGGAGTCTTGGTTTCTGAGAGCAGGTTTGCTCATGTGATGCAAGATAAATTGTGTGGGCTTTACAAGTCTAGATATCACACTCTGTGATGACAAGGGAATCACGTCAGATAGGTCATGGAGCAATGGTTCTCACCTCGGGGTGATGAGAGCATGAAGATGGAAGGTGTGGAGACATGTCTTCCTCTTCACACACACAGCCAAGCACAGTCAGGAGCTGCTTCTGACACTGTCACAGGTCCCCACCTGTGACATATCCCAGCAGACAGTCAAGAATACCTGGCCAATATCAACACAGATGGCAAACTCAGCAAGCAGGTGCTGCACCTCATTCACATCTAGGGGAGCAAGTACATTTATTCAAACAAATCATAAAGTCATTAACACATGCACAATTTTCATACTTTTTTCAACTATTTGTGTTTTAACTTTATTTAACCTTACTAATTATACAGGCTGAAACTTAGACCATATGTATCCTACAACACAAAAAAGTGCCCATCATTAATTGGTGAAATCATGCCTGTTCATGAACCTATGGCTATGATTCACAAATACCTTCCTATCTGGTGGAATACATAGATTGTATTTCTAAAAAGATTGAGGAACTGCTGTGAAGCATTCCAAGCTAACTTCCCTTCAAATCTCCCCAGTTATTTCCAAAGTGCTTTTAATATTGGGGCTATATAGATGGAGCTACATTACTGGGAAAAGGACAAAAAAACACATTAGGGAAAAGCACTAATATCAGTGTCAAATTTAAAAATTTGTTTAAAATTTAACACAGAAAATGAGAATAAACTCAATTTAGCTAGCATATATAAATACATATAAATTAAATAACAAGTTCTTAAATTATTCTAGTCATATGTAACCTTCATATATCTCAGATTAATAAAAGACAAAACCGAGTTACAGAAAGTTCACAAGTTTCTACAATTTAGCTGAACTAAATGAAGCTGTGTTAAATAGACTCAATACAGCTGAATCCATACAGCTGAGTATGCACAAAGTGTCCTATTTCAGTCCAGCTGCTGCTTTGTAATTTGTTGTAAAAATGTGATGGTGTGTTTAAAGAAAGACTGAACACAATGAATTAAATCATCCCTGGAGAAGCTAAGAACAAAGGAGTTCATGAGGGCTTGTCTTAGTCTTCTGTCAAAGGACAAATTTCATCTTGTGCAAATGAATCCTTTAACTTTGAACTACTGCAGCTATTACTCCTCTGAACATTTAAAGATTATTTTGTATGTAGTCATCAGTATTACTCCTAGAGTCCTGAAGATGAATATCCTTGAAACTACGTTGCTAAATTATTTTCCAGCTTGTCCTAACTAGTGCAGCCAATCAGAACAGCAATTCTGCAAGGGTATATTGAATTGCAGAACAAGATGCACCTTGCCTAAATAGGATTTTGCAATTTTCTTTCCAGTTGCTATACCTGCCTTTCTCACACTGCCCAAAATACAAGGAGCTTCTGAGAGAAACCTTTGCAACTAGAGATTTCCAAAGGCAATTCAAGCACTACAAGGTAAAGTATTTTCAGTTCTGGAAATCCAGTTAAAGTGTACCACTTTTTCAACATTATTATTTTTAAAACATACAGGTTTTAAAAATATCAGATAATATGCTCCTTTCAGATCTCTAATCTTCAGAGTGGGTGTAGACAACATACCTAAAAAACAATTACAACATTACAGACCCAGCTGGACTGGGCTATTCCCGACAATTGAAAATGGCAAGTCACAGAAAAGATAAAATATTGACCTACTTGCAACAACTTAGTTTCTAGGAGACTAGACAAAACAAAAACTCAGATAAAATCAGTGTCAATGAATCTTAAATTATTCCAATAGCTCTTTCTGTTTACACCCATGTAAAGCAACTTCTCTGACATCTCTGCCTATATAAATCTGCGAGTTCAGATTAATTTTCTCAGCTCAATTTTCCAGAATTTCTATAACAGTCTCAGTGTTTTTTTCAACTACCTATTCACGTTTCCCACCCAAAATCTTAATTTAGGTGTTCTCTTATGTTTTGTGTCAGTGTTCATATGGTATCCTTTCCTTTCTTTCTCCACCATCAAAACCTTTGCATGACTATATAGTCACATGTTTATTCTGCTGCAACCTTCTTCTTCACAAGTGTTTTCAAAAGGACACTATGAACCTCACCTGTTTTTCTATTATCTTTCACCACTGACCTCAATCATCCATTTGTGGCTCTGCATCTGGGTATTATATGCAAGTAATCACAATTCCCATTTCATCAAATTTACATCATTACCTCTCCTCCTGAGTACCACTATCAGAATAATTATCACACTTCCTTTAAGTACTTCTTGGATTTCTGCCAGACTTCTTCATATATCTGTGCTCCCTCTACTCCCTTCTAAACATTTCCACCTTTCATAAACAATCACCATACTTCAAATCTGGACTGGAATCACCAACCTTGTCTAAATGAATAGGCCAAATTCTCTTACATCTAGGCAATGGTTCATTGCTTTAGTGCAAAGTGCAAAGACTGTCTTCTTTCTAAAAATTCCTACATACTAGTATGGCAGTGTGTAGCAATCATGTAAAAATGCCCTCAGTACTACAGGTTTGGTGTTTTATTTGTATTCCAGCAATTTCTGAAGTTTCTAGCCACTCATACGGGATATCCATTGAAGAAGTTGACTAGTGAAAGGATTTGGAAGCTCTCTGACACTTTACAGTATGAGGTAAATAGAATCAAAGAGTCATTTAGGTTGAAAAAGTCCCTTAAGATCTTTGAGTCCAATAGAAATTCCTACACTTCCTTCAACCTGGTATTTTTATTTGGTTTAATTTTTTACTGTAAGTCATAAAAAGATCATAGATCTATTCTTCAAAATTCTTTTAAACATAGACTATTTTCAGCTTTTCTCAGAAACACTCAATGTCAAACTTACAACTGAAAATCCTGTAAACACTCTATGTCTGAGGCTGCTCTGGGTCATCCACCACTATAAGGAACACAAACTAGTGGACTTTCATATTCAAGATCCAGTCAGTACTGCATATAGAGAATTAGGCAAAAGCATACCTTTGGATAAAATTGTCTTGTAATTGCCCCAGACCCCACAGGGATAAAAATATGTTGCTGGCAAAGAAACATAAGCATCCTTCCACAAAGATTTCATGCAAACTGTAAAAGCAGCAGAAGCCATTATTTGTACATGGCCAGTAGTGGACAGAGTATTTTCAGGAATTAAGCAGCCATTGGAATGACACAAATTGCTATTTTTTGCAAGTTTGGGTGCTTGTTCTAAGCAAAGGTATCACAAAAGAGCATGGATTGTATATCAAAAGGGGCATTATGGTGCCAAACTGGCATGGGTATCTGGGTTCCACAGTCTGGAATTATCATGATTTGAAAAAATCCTAACTGCTTTTAATTTAACAAGAAGTCCCACTTCAAAGTCTAGACTTATCTCAGCTGACACAAAATTGCAGAATTTTGTTTTAAAAAGGTCATTTTTTAAGGCATCTTTTGCTACCTTACTGCATAACTATTTCTAAACTTAAATATTAATGATAAATTGGTCACCAGTGTTGGGATATTAGTGAGGGAGTTTTAAGGTGGATTTCAGAAGCAACATGTAATAATTTACACAGTGTGATATTAATGAATTTACCTTAACTCCTGCAGTTTTTGCAAAACTCCAACTTTGATCAAAGCAGACTTGATCAGAAGGTTATCCAGGGCCTTAAGTTAAATGATATGTTAACATGTTGGTCCATCTCACTCTAATTTCAGTGAGGTCACCCTTCCATGTTTTCCAAATGCAGGACCACAACTTTATATTTCCATTGTTAAATCATACCGAGAGTCTGTCTAATTTGTCATCAGACAAATATGCAAAACCCACAGCTCCCATCAAGAATCTAGCTAAATGCTGGAATTAAAAAAAAAAAAATAAAGAAAAAAAAATAAATTGTGGTTTTCCTTCTAGTGTTACATTTGATGAGCCTTGGTGTTTGATACTACCAACTGAGGACTCTGAGGGTATAAATTAAGACATCTGCCAGAAAAGCCTCTCTCATTTTTCAAGCATACAGAGTGCTTACACAGTTTTTTAGTACAATTCATGAAATCACAGTAGCACACAGCTCTCTGTGTTTGTTACTTTCAGCTAAATGTTATCTGACTTTGAGGTAACTTGGAGACTGAGGTGTTTGCCTGTCTTAAATAGCATGCAACCATCCAATTCTTTCCCTAAGACATAAATCACACCTATTAAAAGAGAAATTGATAACATTGTGATCTGAGCTGGTTTAACCCAGCACGTTCTATTGTTTTCTTGTTTAAACAAGCCCTTAAAGTAGTTGACATTTTCCTTTGAGCTCACTTGTTACAAGAACACTCCTTTTGGTGAGCTCAATCCAAAGGTTACATTGCTCTAAGGGAAAGTTACCAACCTTGTTTAAACAGGAATTCAGAGTAGTGCAAACCAGGAGAGCTGTGCATATCTTCCCTTCTCACAATTGTGATCACTAATACACCTTGGACTGCATCCCCAAGGAAAGACAAATCCATTCCACTTTAGCTTGAGGACTGTGACAGTATCTAATAGACCATAATAGGTACAAATTTCATTTATATCTCATCCTTATATATCTACCCCATACTTTGGTACATCCATACTACCGCTATACATATTGCTATTTGATCTCTGTATTCCTGTTACACCTGAAAGCTACCAGCCCTTAAAATCCTGATATTTAGATGGGATTTGTTTCAGTAAAAATATATCCCAGTACGTGACTGAAAAATCCACATAGTGATTTTTTTTTCACCTGACAATACCAGTTGCTTTTTGCATAATTTTAGTATTATTAATAAGTATTCCTCTTCTTGTTTAAAATATATTTCTTATATTTGAAGAAATAACCTTCAAATTTCTATTAATAGGAATGCTACAGCTGTATAAATGCAAAAGACAGTCATCAATTTATTACAATGAGAAAATGTTACTGGAGTGAAACATTCAGAATTGTTCTGAGAAATATTTTGTGCCAGATTAAATAGCAGTTAGTAGTAGGAATCAGTAAGAAAATCACCATGTTTTCTTTCTTAACTGTAGGATATTAACAATTACACTTTACCTGTTTGGGCTACTCATGGTGTCAGGACCAAGCTGATAAAGCTGTCAGAATTGTTATTGCAGGCGGAATTTGGGTTCCACAAACAAATACAAAAATCACGTTTGCAGGGAGGTAAGCTGAATTCTTACCCCATTTAAATTCTTACCCCATTTAAAATCAAAAGTAGGGTGGGAAAGATAAAAGGGTATATGACAAACAATGCTGCTGATTCTATGGTAGAACAGTGAAAGATGACATTATGGGAATATTGGTGGGCAGCACTGAAAGGTTTTGATTAATGGGGAGGGAAATGGTGGGCATATGAATCATGAATTCCTAATCTAACATTGTAATTGAGGTATCATTTAGATTACACTGTGTAAGAAATAACATACAGATTCTTGTTGAATTGAATCAAGTCTGAACTTAGAGAAAGTCTCCATGTGTACCTTACTTAAAAAATATTATTTGTAGTGATGTCTAGAATGGTGACTTTGTTGCCTAAGTCTTCATATTCCATTACTGAGAGTCCTAAAATTAGTTATTAAACTGCTTTTAACCTTACTCTGCCCAGAAAACAATGGCAGAAGTTTGAAAGAATTTTACACCTTTTTTATCATTTATTCTCCTCCATTCACCCACTGTCATCTTTTGAGCCTCCTTTGTGTTTTATATGTACAGGCAGGATCTGTGAGCTAGGAAGACAAATGAACATATAAGCATGAATTAATTTATTGCATTTTTCAAAGCTCCAATTTGCAAAACCTGGCACAAAGTTTAAACCTCTGACCTTGCTTTACTAACAGTTGCTATTAAAAATGTGCCAGAAGCTAAAGATTAATTCTGTCTAATTTGCTAGCTGGTGCAGTTCTATCTACTTTTAGGATTTTAACTTGTCGACATGCCAACCTTATATTAACATATTAGCACAGCCATTGATTTAAATCAAGTAGTTTGTCTTACAATTTTTCAGCAGTTAACATTAACAAAATGCAGGCAACCACACAATTTATAAAGCCTCAGAGTCAAGAGGATATGTTCTTTCTTTTTTCTCTGGAAAGCAGGAAATCACTCGAGCTATACAGACAACAAGGTAGCATTCATTACTGTGCTCTTTTTGCACTGTTCTGCTAGCACAAAGTAACTGTGATTGCACTGTTTGAAGCTGTTGAGGCTATTAGGGATCCCCAAAATATTTTACACAGAAGTAAAATAGGCCCACTGTTCATTTGAAAGATACTGTCACTATTACTCAAGGCTCTCCACACAGATTACCTGTTAAGTCAATTGAATAAATCTGGTGCACTTAGTGACAGATTGCTCAAATGGCAACAATCGATACAGATGTTAACACAAGCATCTCTTTCATTGTCACTGCTTCCCCATTTTCTTTCAGGAATTCTTTTAAAAACTCTTCTAAAGCATATATTAGATGCTAGAAAGCCTTCATACCATCAAAAAATGGTTATGTATTCCACGGTGAGTGCTTTCTCTTAATCTTGTGTTTCCTGTCTGCAGTTATTAAATGCAGTGAAAGCCATGAAATTTTATTTCCTTCATGAGATACAGCTACAAGCATTTTTTTATTTGGTTAACCTTAAATATCCTCAGATTTAAAAAAAAAATTAATGAACAGGTACTACTTTGAAACCTGAAACATTCCACTTTCCACTGAATGTCATGGTTTTTTCATTGTAATAATGTTTTGATTGAGCAGGGAACTGGAAAAATCATGCCTCATGTTTTATTAAACCTGGATCACAAAGTTAATTTAAAAGAAAATCTCCTTCCTGCAAGTCATCTTTTTCAAGTGCATATGGGAAAAAAAAAGAAAAGAAATTAAGTTACAGTTATTTTAGAAGGCCTTATGAAGGTACTTACTCAATTGTGATAGTTTATTTTTGTTTAGAATGTACAAATGCTGTCATTGGAGGAGGAAATTTTTGGATTGCTCTCACAAAAAAGCTTCTGTTTCTAAACTGCATTTATATAATGATCTATTGGGTATATATCAGCTAAAGAGCTTACTGATTTGATCTCAAATGCTGTTTACTTAACAGGCAAAACCACTAGTTCTTTTCAAAGAAGTTTTAACAGCTCCTATTAATTTTGTAAGAGCTGCAAGTAACTAAGACTTCTTAAATATTTACATATGTGTATACTTTATACATGCAGGACTTCAGTTTCTATAGCCATAAAGGGACAATATTTGCTCAACAGTGCAGAGGGCAAGTACTAATGAGGATGTAATGAGGTTAATGTTGAGTGGACAGATAATGTGCAGGAAATATTGCTAAATAATAGGTTCATGTAATCATTTTCAACAGACATTTAATTAAAGGTTTCCTCTGTTCACAGCATGCAGCCACCATTGCTGCCTTACAGATGGCACTCAATGTCTTCAATGGGAAATTGCCTCCTCACAGTGCCTGCCACTTTTTTGAACTTTACCAGGAGAAAAATGGGCAAGTATCTGCAAGCTGTACTGCTAACATGTACCTTTTTTAAAACGTAATTTTCTGATATCCAAGGCTAATTAAACTAGATACTGAGGTTCACTATTCAGGAAAACATTACACATTGATTTTAATTAATGTAATTGCATTCAGTTTAGTATTCAGTAGCAGAACAAGCCAGAAAACCATATATATATATATATACATATATACATATATATATATATATATATATATAACAATTATGAAAGAGTTTACTCCATCCTTTTTATTTAACTCTTTAGCAAAGATGACAAACTACATGCAAATTGGTGTTGACTGTTGCTTAAAAACTTCTTTTCAGAGTATTAATTATATTAGTAAATCATAAACATATTAGCAACCAGACAAAAGAGCTGGCTAAAAGTTTGTCCCCAAGTACAATAACTGCAGCATGGAAAGGCTGTGTGGTTTTGCACACCTCACTTTATTTTGACCCCTCTGTATTTTGAAACAGGCAATACACCATAGAAATGTACTACCGGAATAATTCCTTGAGGGAGCCTCACCCCCTCACCCTCCCTGGCTGCAAATTTCGCTGTCCCCTGGAGAGATTTACTCATCTGGTCTCTCCCATCCTCATACACTATTGGACAAGAGAATGTAGAATTTAGAACATCAAAAGAGGTAAGTTAAGTGTTCTGGGCACATGTACCCAAAAGCAAAGTCAGGATTACAACTTGAGCCAACAGCTCATTTGAAGTGACAATCATTTTCATAAGGGTCTGCTCTGAAATGAAAAATATGCAGATCCAGGAAAAGAGAATTGTACCCATGGCTGTCATTCCTACTCCATCAATACACTTATCTATTCTAGACCAACTTTCTAGTAAAATGAAATCAAAGCTGATCTGACTTTAGGGTGCTGTTTTTCATGTGTGGTTTTTTGTTTTGGTTTGGTTTAGTACAGTCAAAAAGACCTTCAGTTACTGAAGAACTACATATAAAGGCACTGAGTTAAAACAGTCACCTTTTCTTCTCTAACTGTAGAATGTTTGTCCAAGTTGATTAACAATAGTCAGCAATTATGAATTCTCTTGATTTTAGCAGGCATTCAGAGATCAAAATAGATGAATATTGAATAGTACACCAGATTGGTACTTACCAGATTTAAAAAGTATACAGACACACATTGGTATACTAACACATTCCCACATAGGCAAGCAGAAAATGACATTGTCTGTCTTTTATCTAGCTCTATATTACTTAAGGGAAATGAAAACTTAAGAAACCTCACTTTTCTAATGTTCAAATATTGTACCCAACATTAAAAAATCCCATATGGCTTTCTGAATCACTGATCTCAAGAAGAATTTGAATCGTTGTAGATTATAAGAATACAGACCAGCCAATTCATCTCCTTGAAAATAATTTCCTGTTAAATATCTTGAATCCATTAATAGAGTGGAGATAGTCTGGCCAGAATACACAAAAAATTAGCAAGTAATGATTCACTAAACAAATTTCTTTACTACAGTCATTGCTCACAAATTCTCAGGAAATTACCACATTTAATTGCAAAAAGTAATTTGGCAGAGGAAGGGGAAGGTTTTTTCTGATGAGTTTTTTTCCAGCCACACTAATAACACAGTCACGGAGGATAATGATAAATACTTCGTATTTATATTGTGGTGCTTAATAATCTAAGATTTGTGGAAATTAATCCCCCTCCTTCACAAAGCAAACTGTGTAACTGATCAGAACAATAAATGAAAAAAATGGTAGTATATCAACATTTTACAATTATAAAGGTACAAATATTTAGCCTTTAAGTTTAACACAAAGGCTGTACTTTGCTTCAATCGTCACATTTTGCTGAAGTAGAAGTTAGATGATGTTCAGGTATTTTACACCAGCATCCAGCATCACTGCTTTTATTAGCAACCCTGAGTGCTGAAAACACAGAAGGACCACAAAAGAGGTTATAACCAAACCTGATACTCCAATAAAAATGTCGTCATATAAAAATTTGGCATTTTACACTGTTTTATCCTGGTTCAGAATGGACCTGTTGTAGCCATATCCTATTTTTTTGTTGTTGTTGTTATTAATTGAGGAAACATTAATTTCACTTTTCCTGCAGGCAATTTTAAGTTCTCTGCTGTGCATGAGTGGCACTTGGGAAAAGGCCAAAGCACACTGATCCACAGGCTGCACAGTGCAGCACACTGACAGACTACCCTGTGCTAAACCACTGTACATTAACAATTCTCAATGAATGCAGACAGCCTGGAACAGTTGATTTTTAACACCAGAAAGCTAAATAAAGGAGAAGAGTGATGCACAGTTTACAGGTCACAATTACACTTGACACAGACAGCTGCAAAATCCCTGATTTCAGCTGTTTCCAACTCTGTCAAAAATCATCTCAACAATTTTTGTTTGCTAATGCATATGTTATTAATTTGATTATACATGCATGAAAGCATTTTATGAAGCTCATAAACGTTATTAAAAAAAATAAAATTCAGGAGTGTGACTGAGTGCAAAAGTGCAATTTATATAGATAACTATTCTACAGGGAGACTCCAGTTCACGAACATACAGATGTTTCTATAAAAAGCTTAATTGAAGTTTTATGGAGAGGATTTATGCCCCCACTACAAGGAAATAAAGGAGTTAAGCAAGTATTGTTATTATAGGTCATACAATACAATAGCAGTATTTAAGAATGGTTTAAATCAGACTTAAATTACTCCACATCTCAATAACCCTAGGGTGAAACAGGCAATTACTAAAGCTCAGCATATTTGGGAAGTAGGTGAAACTGTGAGCTCTTCCTGTGCTCTTTTTGGTGCTCAGGAAGTTTTCAGCATGGATTGACACAACATTTCAACAGATTTTTCCTAATTCCATTAAAACAGGAACAAATGTGTTAACTCCTCTCCACTTAGTCTGAACTGCTTACTTGTTGAGGTACTATCAACAGGTTTGCCATGCTTTTGGAGAATGCCATATGCTAAGAATGCATCTCTCTTTTTGTCTTATCTTTAGGTGTTCACTATCTTCAGTGTGGTTCACTTTATGAAAGAACTCTTCCCACACTGTGATATGACTGTGGTCCAACATTTCTCTTTAAATTCCATCAGCATGACCAACTGAGTCTCCTCATCTCTACTAAAAGAAAACACTCCTTAATACTACAAAAGTTATAGAAAGCAAGGACTTATTCTTCATGAATATTTGCTTTACTTTGTCACCTGGCAAAACCCAAGTGCAATATGAAACCAGTGGAATTTTTCAAGACCTATTCATTCCAATGGGACTTTGTCAGAACTAATGTAACTATGCAATGATAGTTAGAGTGTTTTGAAGCTCTACAGCCTTGATTTATAGCAAAATTGGAAAATATGTCTGAAGGAGTGTTGCCCTCTTTTGAAGAATGAGACAAGAACCTCCAGAATTGGTGACAGAAGCAATGCTTCAAACGGAGACCCTAAAAGGAGGAATCATTCCACTGTCCTTAGAATTTATTTTAATTAAGAAGCAATGAATCATTTTACACAAACAGATCTCGGAAGCCACAAGAATTAGGATAATGCCTGCTTACTTATCAAAGAGATTTATTTCTTCTTTTCTCTGCCTTCTACATGCACAAATATACCATCTCTACACAGAAGGAAGATGAGACTTGTGGAAAACTTGAACTGTAAATCTAGACCTAAAAGGGGCCTAAAAACAGCCAGACTATCTACCATGAAACACCTAGCAACAACTGGTTGACCTAACAAGGACTTCAGATATTCTTTCCAAAAAGACAGTAAAGCCAAGCATTAATTTTGGAAGAAAAATAATTTTTGGTTTCAAATAGCTTTTTTAACATCTTCTTTTGGTTATGTAACCTTGATTATATATTCTGATCTGATCATATAAAGTCTGTTCTTTTGGGAAATTGTATGTAGACACTGTTCTTGACATGAACAAAAAATGACAATGCAAAATAAAAAAAAAAATCAGAGCTGCATGTTCAGTAAAACATACAGAACATGTTGGGCAATCCTTCACTATTTATGTTTTCTAATATTGCTATTGCAAAACCAGCTTGTTTCCTTACTCCAAAAGCTGGATCAGAACAATCAGATGCAACTAATTTCTAAAAACAGTGGATATGTCTTTGCTTGGAGAACTAGGATCTCTTTATTTGTTTGTTTTCTCACAGTGGACAGGACCTTTTGTCAACAGCCTTATTGCACACAGGTAATTTCAAAGAGAACTAGACAAACATCTGAGGTGCAGAAGATTTCACCATTCTGGTTTCTTTTCCCCAGATCAGGCTTTTTAAATGGATGCTAAACCTAAAATGTATATTCTATACAGCATAAGCAGACAACTGCTACTCTACAAGATAAAAATGAATCAAAATAATAAAAATATCCCTTTTCTGTCCAAAAATAATCTAAATTTCAGAATACTCACTGTAAATGCCCTATTCTCTTCTCAGCAGGTCCCAATTTCTGTTCATCTTAAGCCACCATAGGAAATACAGTTCTCCAGGAAAGCTGTAGTTAGATTTCCAGTCAAAAAATGCAACCCCTTTTACCATAGCATCCAAACAATGGTAAAAATGTTTTCTGACAACATGAGATAACCAGTTCTACCTGCTTCTTAATGCAAAGAAGAGCAAGCTTGTTTATTCCATATTACCTTAATGTCCCATAATAGACACCAGAAGAAAGTCTTCCCAGGTCTGGCAGCCCTCACAGGAAAGTTAGTGCAAGGTCTTTAAGTTATTCATCTCAAAACCATGCTGATCATCACACCTCCCTTCCTAAGAAGTGATTAAAAAAAAATCTGCTAGACGAAACCAAACAGAAAGGAAAAGCCAAGACTCCATCTTTACCAGTGTTAGACTTCTAACAGATTGTAGCCGTGGCTGTCAAAACCAAATTTCTAGGCACTTTCTCTTCTCAGCCTGTTCCTTTTTCTTCTTTTTTTGAACTTGTGCCAAATTGTGGTGCTCGAGTTACTATTAACATTTTGTTTGCCAGATGTTTAGAAGTGAAAGCTCAAGAGCTGTAAAGGGCAAGCTTCATGCTTCTCCCAAAAAAGGAAGGGTAACTTTTCTGTTAGTTTCCTGAACTGGACAATGCTTACATAGAAAATGTGACAGACACCTGAGACATTCTTCATTATTCTTTTTAGTCTCCAGTTCCCAGTTCCTCCTCTACTTCCTAACCCAAATCCATGTCCCAAAAACTTTCAAAACTGCATGAAGACCCTTTACCCCAGGGATTTGTCTGGTCTGAGGAATCATGGACCTGGATAGACCCTGGCCTCAGCACTTCAGTTCAGTTATAGAAGTGCATCCTATGTGAGGTCACTGCTTACAGTACAACAATGTAAGTTCCCCCTTTTCTGTCACATGTTCAGACAATGTCTTCTTCCATGCTACAGGCCCCAGTGTATATACCTTGAATAATCTAATTTCTGCTGAGCAAAAATAAATTTCAAATTTAATTTACAAATTAAGAAATGTCTAAATAATTTTATTACCCCTAGCCCTTTGGAACATAAACCCCATCACACACATTCTTTATAATGTCTTTTGTTCTTAAGACTATCACTGTAGAAACACAGAAAGGAAGATTTCCTTTATACCTTGCTAACTCTGAGGGAAAATAGGCATCAGTGTTTATAAAGGCTGGAACATAAAGCCCAGATCTGTTGTAGGAATATAAATTGGGATGTCAGTGAATGAATAATAAACTGCTCTAAATTATGTTTTCCTACAACTTCACCAGCTGATTTAATTTGAAAAATTTGTCTTAGTGTCTTTTGCAGGCATGAAGTCATACACAGGTTCATTTCAGTTCCTCTTAAAGAAGAAGTGAGTCAAAATGAGTAAAAACCCCATGCAGTTTAGCTTTGGAATTATTTAGATAATTTATTTTTTAAATATGTTGCAAAAGCAGGATCACCTGGATATGCAACTCCCTCTCTTCTTTCACAAACAATGTCTAGACAGATTGTCATATTTTAGAGAAGACTTGCTTCAATAGCCTGAATAGACATAGATTCTGTAATATAGCTGGATATAACTTGTGATCACTATTTTTCCTTTCATGTGCGGAAGCAGTGTCAGCAAAATGGGGAATGAACAACAGAAAAGCAACAGTAATTTTGTGCTGCGTGGGAAAGGTGGTACTGGACAGCCTGAACTATCATTTTCATTAATTTCATCATCTTTGCTTCTCTTTGGGTTATTTACTGAGCTGACTATCAAAAATGAATGCAAGAAGAAAAACCCAAACCAACCCACACTCTGATCAAATTAATAAATTAATTTAGATTTGTTTCCTAGTAGTACTAGAAGTAGGCTTTTCTTCTTTTTATTTAATATTCATAGTACTTACCCAAGATGTGGCAGACATAAGTTCAAATCCCTCCTTTTGCAAAAGGATCTGTCTCCACCTCTTCCAGAAAATAAAATCACCACCAAACTTTAGAGTTTCAGAGGGAAAAGAGAAAAGGAATTGTGTTTTCTGTCTCTTAGTTATTTGCTGTTCACTTTGCTTTTTGCAAAACCTGCAAATTCCCTTGTCTCAGGCAAACATCTTAATCTCATAAGATCAAGAAGAAATTCTCTGAGTGCCCTGTAACCAGGTGCATATTACAAACTTAGGACAACTAAGAAATTATTAGAAGACAGTGAATAGACAGTGAGTAGATTTTTTCTTCCCCCCACCTGCCTTAGATTAGTAACTTTGGGCTTAGGACATTTTTCTTTGTAGTCTAATATATAGGTTCATGTTCTGTCAGCAGTACAAATAAGTTAATTCCTTCTGTGTCACAAATTAACTCCCTTGTCCCTTCTCACTCCCCACAACTGGGTGAAAACACCCCTACATAGGGTTGTGAGACAGTCTCATTTAATGTGTTTCAGAATGGTGCTTGGAAAACGTTTCACTTTGTTTACTGAAACCAAATCTTTTCTCTCCCTCTTTCAGCTAAAAAAAAAAAAAAAAAAAAAAAAAAAAAAAAAAAAAAAAAAAAAAAAAAAAAAAAAAAAAAAAAAAAAAAAAGCTTGGAAAGAAAGATTTGAGATAAATCCAAACTCTCCTAAGTGCTGATCTGCACATGCAGTCAGTAGCAGGACCTGATCTGTTTCCCTACGTGAGCAGCCTGGTACACGAGTGCTGTCAGCAGTTTCATACCTCGTGCTTTGACTGCAGTGACTTCCACCCTTTCAGGGTGTAGGTTGTGCTCCACCAGCAGCAGTGGTTACCTCAGGTAACCCTCATGCACAATAAAGCACAGGCTCTTTTGCAACCAGACACTTCAAAGGAAATCAAGGCTTCAGCAAGCCTTTAACATAGGTACGTGCGCTTAAAATTTATAATTGTGTTTAATTCTACTTGATGCCATAATTTCATAATTAGAACTTATGACAATAAGCCAAATTAACATAAACATGATTTAAATTGTTTAGGTTTGCTTGCATTATAATGCTTCAGCAACCATAAATAGATTAGAAGGACTTTTAAAATTATTATAATTTTGAAGCCATTTTTCCTGAAAAATGCCAGGATTTAGTTACTGCAGAATATGCTGAGTTTATACCTGCCAAATGCTCAGTAGAAATGGAGATAATTCCAGAAATGCACAGAAATTTCTAACATACTTACAGATTGCATAGAGGATTCCTACATGACTCTATCTTAATCAGTATGGCACATAAATGGAGATATTTTTCCATTTTGGAATGTGTAAACATTAACTTAAGTTGTTGTGGTACCTATTATTTTGAGCACAAAATACTTTCCCTAACAATGTATACATGCCAAGGGAAGAGTGAAACCACAGAAATACTTACCATATCCTTGGTCTTGTGTTGAAGTATCATTTTTAAAAGACATTAACAAATATTTTCTATAAAATATCATTGTCAAATATTTTTTAACATTCTTGAATGATGCCATCCAGAATCCCCCTCTTCATGACAATAAAATTGAGTTCAGGCCCTAAAGTGAGGTCATTAGAATGGTTCCATAATAGTGAGACTACAGTGGTCATAGTCACTCATCAATTAAACACAATAAACCAGAAAATCTTATAAAAACTAATCAGTTATGAATTTTGTGGTAAGGTCATAAGAAAGATAAGAAAAGATTCCAAGAGCCAACTGTGATTCTTGATCAAATAACTTTGGAACCACTCATTACATTGATTAAAAAAGTAGGGGATCCATTCTTGAGTTTTGAGACATGTTAAAGTATTCTGACAGTCTGTTTTATGATTTACACTCTTAAATAATGAAGATGATCAGCTTAAGTTTGTTTTCAGAAAGACTACGTATTATATATTTATATTTAGATAAGTCACATACACCTTTTGCATAGGCAAAAGTCACACCAGGAGAGATCAAAAAGGAGGGTGGGGACATAACAGTGGAGGAAGAAAGAAGTCCAACTGCTGAAAACTGGGAATGGACTGAGAAGACAGACAGGAAAGTTTGGGAGCTGTAATACTCCTCCCATCCGGTCCCATCCATCAGAAAATGTGGATACATAAGGACATGCACACAACTCAAAGGAGAGGATACCGAGGCTTAATGGGCTCTAGGGCCTTAAAGATGAAATGGCTGGTAAATGGTGAAGCACCTGTTGTAGAAAATGCTGCTGAAGAGAGCTCAGCAGAAAACCCTGAGACAAGTTTGGGTACAGTAGGAATGGAATGACAATCACAAAGGACCTAAAGTTTTAGCATTTAAAGAACTCTACTAAAAGATCTCTGTGAACTAATTCATTACTCTAAGAGTGCTTATGAAATCAAGTCTACAGGTATTGTTCTTCATTATTTTATAGAGAGAAAGTCAGCAGAGACAAGCTAAGCAATCTCCTCAAAGCCACTAAGCTACTGTAAGAAAGAGTGTTTTTAATCAGTAATAATAAAAATGTGAGATCCAGGACTTGTTCACAAGAAATTCCTTAAAGACTTCAGGACAAAAAAGATCTCAACATGAGCAGTTCCAAAGGGGAAGTATAGGAATACTCTAAGGGAAAAGAAAAATAACACACACAAATTGAAGAGCAAATAACTGCCCAGCAAGGATCTTAAAGAAGATACTCGTCACAAAATTTATTTGGGTATTTTATCTGAGGGACTGACAATTTCAACCCACATGAAATGTTGTTTTAAATAATTTTTCTGATTTTACAATGATAATGTGGAAGAGGGGAAGAAAAAGGGAGGAGAAGGAAGCTGAAAAGTGGGCTAGTTGAGCAGCAGAGAAACAGTATTGCCTGGCTCGTGGTTCATTCTTGTGGGTATAGTTTGGAAAAATTCCAAGCAAAGAAAAGTCAAAACGCAACAAGTAGGTTGAAACATTAGCAATGCTTAGAAATTCCTTTGTATTTTAACTTCATCCTCACACTCCAAAAGAGAAAAATATTACAGGGAAAAAAAGGAACTGAATTATGATTTGATTAAAAAGAATGTAAACAGTAATTTGAAAACAAAGGGCGATGCAATTTGTTGCGTAGTCACACAACATTCCTCTTGGATTTGAAATACACCAGCGGCAGTTCCACCCCTTCTGAAGGTAAAGCCTGACGTCTTGCAGTTCAGCCTGAGCAGCTGCTGGAGCTACAAAGTCTTTCTTTCCTCTTCTGTCAGGATGGGTGTGATACGGCTTCCCAGCTTGTCTAGGATCCTGTGTTTTACTTTTCACATGATTCTCATTCTGCTTCAACAGACTATTACAGCACGAGAACTGAAGTTTGTGGTTGTAGTAAGTATATTTGTCCTCTGTTTTGTTGTGGGGAATTCAGGGACAGAATTACATGTCTGTTGAATCAAACAATGTGTACAGTTTCTTTGCTTGTCTTCAAACCTAGAAATAAGTACTGCTGCCCTTTTGCTGACTGAATTTAAAGACCTCACCTAAAGAAAGATAAAAATGTCTCTAGTTATTACAATTTTCATCTCCTAAACTCCTAATTATTTCATCTCCTAATTTCATCTCCTAATCTCTTAATTGTTATTTCAAGATAACCTACTTTGTGGTAGATGCATAGTGCAAGGCAGTTAAGAGATGCAAAGTCCACAGTTACCTACTCTTCCTTAGTTTAGCTGACACTCCAATGCATAGTGTGAGAGCTGGTGATTGTGGACTACCTCTTCTATGCTTGGAAGATGAAGTTTATCATGTTACAGAAGTTACCACACATAAACACACAAAATATTTTCCATTTCACAATAACTGAATTGTCACAGCAGTAGACTGAGAAACTAAATAGACAGGCATTTTTAAGTGGAGATTTGAGAGATGTTTTATTAACTTCAGTTAGGCTGAAAACAGACTGTAATGATTCTTTTGCTCGACCATTTCTTATTTTATAGTAGCTAAACAGTATTTCAATGCCACTTTCCCAAATACCTCTAGAAAAAGATATTAATTCAATGTAGCATTTTGGATTATGAAGGTTGAGCTATTGTCCTTTTCATTCTTTTTTTAATAAAAGGTATAATGATAAAGAATAGTTAGTCCAAAGGAATATTTTCTGTACAAAGTTGAGGGGATTAGAATGAACTCTTATAAACAGGCAATTGAAGATCTTCTTCTTCAGCCTTTGTCTCCAGGTATGAGGCAGAAGTACTGTGTCCAAAACATATTTTCTGACTCTAAAGTACTTCATGTATAGCTACATTGGGTGCATTGTGCATGCACAGCTTGGAGAAAGGCCAGAGTGCACAGGAAAAACCAGTTCCTACTCCTGCTGAGACACCACACATAGCAGGGACCTGACACTAATTCCAGTACCATTCTGTATACAGAAATATACTTACATGCTTTTTTCAATGGCAACAGGGACAACTGGATGAAAACAGGTAGACATCAAGCCTTGGAGCATTAACTCCTTAAAAGGAATGAGATTTTTATTGAATTGCTGTTATTGTGTTTTGACAAGCAATGATTTTGCAGAAAGTTACTGGAAATGTTTACCATTATGGAGAGAGAGGCTTCGTGTCCAAAAGTCATTTGCTTACCGTAACTGTGCAGCCACCTAACAAAAACAAAAATAAAACAAAACAAAACAAAACAAAACAAAAAAACAAAACAAAACAAAAAAAACCCAACCAACCAAACAAAAAAACCCAAAAAACCCCAAAACCCACTAGGGTAGCTTGTCACAACAAACATTAAATATATTAAATATTAGGCAAATTTCATTTAAGATGTCTTCCTTTTAATCCTGTTACTTTTGCTTAGGCTGACCAATCACATAAAATGTCACAATGGATTTAATCTTATTACAATATACATTTTTTTTCTCAAGGCCTGGTTTATATATCCTCTATTGAATTGTGCCTTCTGAACTGATTGAATTTTCACAGAAACAGAGTTGCTAGTATAAATGTATAGCATAGAAATAGACCCCAGAATATATCGCTGATAAAATGGGATATAATGAGGGCATTGCTGCAGTCAAGGTAAATCTGAAAGGCACCTTTCTGACATACTTCAATAGCCATTGTCCAGCTATCCTGTAAGTTACTATGTTTTCACCTGAGAGTATTACTGCAGTGTGAAAAATGTCATAATGACTTTTTAAAACTTCCTTAGCGGAACTGCACAATATAAAATACATCTGCAGGGGTGAAGAAACACAGATAAATGTTTGCCTTTTCTCACTTCTAGAATTGTGCTGTGTCTGGGAAGGTGTCTCTCTCTCCTCACAACTTCCAACTTTGTGCTGATTCCCTGTGTTATGATTATTGGCCACAAGCCCTGTTCTCTGAAAAGCTCTAATTCAAGCCTATTTGTCAAAATGCTTTTTAAATTTCTTTGCTTACATGTAAACATTAGCTTTTACTATAATTCTTGTGCAATTAATTAAGATTAAAGGCAGAATTTAAATTTAAAAACACAAACTTTAACGAAAGAAGAAAATAGGAATTACGTAGGACAATCAGGCACTCAAGTAGAAATGAAGTACTTATTTATTGCCTCTGTTTAAAGAAATTCTGACCTGGACCTTCTGCCTCTACACACACACACATTTCACCTGTCATATATACAAAGAGGTGTAGTTTCTGAGGCATTGCGGATTCATCATGTTTTTCTTCTTCTAACTCAGGATAGGAAACATTGACTGGGCATGTTATCTCTGAGCATGATTTTTCTAATCAAACCAAGCCATCAGAAACCTTGACTAAACATGCTGGGTATTTCTACATCTGATTTCCCTGAACTGGCAGCATGATGGTTTCACTTCACTTTTGTTTCTTCCTTCCTACTGCTGGCTTCAAAGTAAGAAATCTTTTTGTTTAAAGTGAAATCTGTCAATAAAAGTGTCTGCAAGAGACTCACTACTTCACTGTAATTCATGACATTTCTAAATGAAAATGATATATATGTGTGTGTATGCTACACATGCCATATTTTCAGTGCACCCTCTCCCCTGCACCAGTTTGTGTCCAATACGATTTTTCACCTGTCAACAATGGAAGCAAATGCTGGCCAAAGTCTCAGTCATGTGACAATTTTCATATGAAGTGATCATGCTCACAAAGTTACCAAGAGTGGATGAATGAACCCAGACTCAATCTGAAATCAGATTCAAGCTGTATCAGAGTGGAAGGAAAGAGCAATGAACTTTGTAATTATTCATCTACTGCTTTTGAGAACTGAGGTGAAGCACTTCAAAAGGAGTGCCGAAATTAATACACCAAACAGATCTGCTTTGCTCATCTTCTGTACATACCCCTTACCATCCCTTCCTTCTTGATTTCTGGTGTCTTTTTCACTTTTTATGATGCTTCCTTGCTCTTTTCTCATTCTGCCACGTTCTGTGTCTCTGAAAGGTCAGGAAGGCAATTTGTAGGCCAGAAGTAATAAATGCTGCAGCACACATTTTTAAAAATTAATTTGAAGAATCAACTCATTTTTAACAAAGTAGGAATTATGAGTGTTGAGGAACACATACTGATGAGTAAGGTCTGTAGGGATACACTTTCTTTTCCTATCAGATGTTCTAATGAAAAACACAGTTTGAAATTTTAGAATAAATCTCCTAAGATGTAGCTGTGAGTGAACAAGTAAGTCTTTCAGGTTAAGTGGTTATTCATACGGTCATTGCTTCATTTTTAACTGAAGCAAGGTCATTTTCAGAAGTAGCAAGGAGGTTTGAGCACATACAAAAACAGTTGACTAAGAAGCTTTGTCCTTCAATTCCTAAAAGTGGGGTTCTGCTTTTTAAAATGTTTGTTTCCTTCTTGCTGCTTCCAGCTTAGTGTTCATATCATATTTATGTGACACTGTGCAATGAAGGTGCAGAAATATGAACAAGGAGCTTAAATATTATTTCCTATTTTGTGTGGACTTAAAGAAATTAGACTTCTTTTTAGAAGAACACATCTTCACCCCTTCAATTTTTTAAAGTTACAAAGAAATAAAATATTTTTATTTGTATCTCCTGCTCATATATTCATTATATCTTTTGATGTTGATATTTTTGCACACTAACCTCTATTCAGATAAAATGCTACTCTGTTCTGGCTTACTGAAAGCTGTTAGGGGTTGACTGTTGAGACAGTGGCCATTGTGACATGCTCAGGGTTATGTTGCACATTGAACATAAAACATCACAAACCAGTATTTAAAATCTGACATGCTGTCAGTAATTTTTCTCTAATTAAAAGGGCATATTTATGACCAAGTGTTGATCTAGTGTTAAGTATTACCTAAAATATACATAAAAATTAGTCATTTAAACATGCCAGTCAGTTTGAACAATTGTCAATTATCCAGAAAAATGCTTTTCTGTGAAGCTGGATAATTTAACAAGAGAGGATGGAGCTATGTTGTAATTGGGAATTTAACCTTAATTCTTGACACAAGTACCAGCTTGTCCAGAAAAACTAATTAATCCTATCTGACACCTATGTACATCAGTATAAGGAAATGAGCAGTAGTACAAAAGTCCTTCTCACTGGTTTTTCTTGCACACAACTGAATCAGCCACTAGACAATCTAGCTCTTTACTTAGTCTCCTGTTCACTAGAGGTGCACGGAGAAATTGTTATAAAGAACCAACTGAGATTCCAAATTATAAGAAAAGAGATTAAAATAGGATTTAAAAAAATGCACAGATAATGAAAAGAAAACCCAAACAACAAATTTGATGATGAAGGTGAAAACCCTCCTTGATTTGCTGCAAAATATTCATTTTCAGTTGGCCACATAGTGAAATTCAACTAGCAAACCAAAAAAAACATAATAAGCAGTCTTCTACATGTTCTAATGGTAACTTATATTCTAGCAAACTTTGTTGTCTATTGTAGAAAGTGAACAGAGGCAGAAATCCAATTATATTTGCCTTTAATGGACAGCATTTTCCATCTCTGAAGTACCTGCTCTAGCAGAGGTTTGTGTGCATTAGGCTGATGGAAAGGGTGTGTGTTGTAATTAAAACATTAAGTCACATCACTGGTGTTTACTTTGAAAAATATAAACGTGAAACACCTCCCAGTGGGAGTGGATAACTGGTGTGTACAACCCTCTCTGATGTCTGGACAAGAATGATGTGGCTTAATGAGGCAAAGGAGAGTATTAATTATAAACAAGTTATGTACCACTGAGGTATTAGGGCATAAACGTCATTTTATTAACAAATATACCAGGATGCTGCATAGTCATTTTCTTGTGCTAAATCAGGAATGAAGTTGGTGATGGGAACACAGATAAGCAAAGGTAACTTTTCTGATAATTTGGGTCAGCATCCTGGAAGGTTGTCTGAAGCCCTGTGAATTTGTATTCCAGCATTTCCTTTCATGTGAAACTTCTGTGGGTTTAATTTTTCTAAGCTCACACAGCATATGTTTGGAGGGGATAATTCAGTTTTTCAGAACCATTTAGTCTAGGGCTGTAATTTCCTTTGACTGCTGGAATAAAAATACAAAAAGGTTTAATTTTCCTGATTAAAAATAATATGATTGAATGCATCACACTAATACTTACTATGCTGGAGTGTCCAGGATACGAAAGTAATCAAACTTCACTCTCACTGAATTTGATGTAAAAGTATTAATAAAGTAAGTATTAATTAAGCTAACAATGTAAAAGTTTATATTCTTCTATCTTTATATTTTAGGATGATTGAGAATCTGAGCATAAGATCCATATGTATATTGAATTACTTTAAAAGATACTGCTATGAAAAAACAGTTACCAAAAAATTTCAAGTGTCTATGACAAGGTAATTAAATCCTAATCTAAGCACATCAGTAACTGGTTTAATATCCAGAAACACCGGGCTTCCAAAATTCAGTCATATTTCCTGTCTAGATGCCTAGCTGTGAACACAATCCCAGCATTAACATCTTGGGTGATTAATTTAATGTCCGAGAAGTAAGAATCATCAGGTTTATGCCCACTTAATTTCTATATAATTATACATAATCTTGATTTTAAAGAATGTATTCAGATCCTACTTGACCAGGTTTCTGCAGACTCTCCAATACTCTCATTTGAAAAATGATGCTGGAAGTATAATGCATGCTTGACTTCTAGTTAGATAAAAAACAATTAACTAAAGGGGTTTTTATTGCTTACATTGTCCAGCTTTTCCGACACGGTGACCGAACACCAATTGTGAACTTTCCAACTGATCTACACAAAGAAAGCGAATGGCCCCAGGGATTTGGACAGCTCACCAAGGTATGTTAACTTTCTTAGAAGAACTTAAAAATGCTATTAAAAGAGGAAGTGGGAAGATATTTTGTGTGTGTGTCTCTCAAAGCATAAGCAAATCCCAGGTGCTGATAGTTGCTATTAGCAAATACCAATACCAGTAATTCATAAACATTTTTGCAATGTTATTTGTTTAGCTATTATTAAATTGAAATCTTGTTCATCATAGCTTTATAATTACCTTCCTAAAAGCAACAACTTCTTGATAATGTGTCTGCTTTCAAAGAAATGGCAAGTTTAAACACTGTACTGTTAACACTGATGAAGGTCTAATGACCATTAAGTACTGAGTCCTGTGACAGGGCAAAGACATGACACCTGCCCACCAAGTCAAGTGACGAGTCCATATCTCATCATTGGACTGACAACCACCAATTCACAAAACAAGAGAAGACTTGCAGGAGAAGGTTGCTTCTGGGGACAATGTGTCTTGTAACAATGCCACTTGCAGTTCACAGTTTCACTAGGATGCATGGAGCATACTTGTTGCTCGGGTATTTTAACATCAAGCCTAAGCTCTTTGACTGTATTTGATATATGAAGCTCTGGAGCAAAAGGAAGCCAATGCATTTCCTAATAACATTTTGTTATGGTGCAGAAGTATGAAACGGAGATAGTTTAGTGTTTAATGTTTGAAGGGGGCTTGAAAGATCTGTAAAATTTACACACTGAAACAATGCATTACTATTTTATTACTATCTTATTACTAGCTTATGTACTAGGATGTTCCTGCTTTGGCATTGACTTTTTTGAGAGCTTTTTGCTATTTTGCTATCTTTTTAGCAACAGTAGTAGGAATGTATTTCTCTGACAGGTAGAAGCTAAAAAGCTCAGTTCAGGCTTTAGAAATAAATAACAGAAAAGATGGTGTGCAACGTAAGACAACTGCAGGCACATGAAGGCAAAGAGGGAAAAATGCTACTTAAGGCATGAAATATAGGCTACAAATTTATAAGGCTGAAGAAATAACAGCAATGACAATGATAAATACTAGGCTGTCAGTCATCCTCTCTCAGCTGTCACTAAATGACATATATTATAAAGGACAATGTTGATTGCTGTCTACAGATCTACAGCTCTGTGGAAATAATATTTGTACAGAATCAGGAGCATTGCCTTTCTGTAGCAGATGTTGCAATCTTAGCCATTTCAGAACATATACTTTCTTCATAGATATAAGTGAACACTTCTATTAAAAATTATAGATCACCTGCAACATACACAGTTGTTCTGGTTTTGGCTGAGAGCTGGTATGAGGCTGTTTCAGATTTGCACTGAAAATGGTGCTGATAATGCAGGGACGTTTTTGTTACTCCTGAGCAAGGCTAACAGATTCAAAGGCTTTTCTGCTTCTTGTACTAGCCTGAGTAGGGTAGTTTGTCTGAGGTTGCACAAGAAGTAGGGAGGGGACACAGCTGGGACAGCAAGTCTCCACTGACCAAAGAGGCTTAATGTAACATATGATGCCATGCTCAGCATATAAAAATGGGTGGAGAAAGAGGAAGGGGCAGACATTCAGCTTGATGTTGTTTGTTTTCCCAAGAAATTTGGAGGGAGCCCTGCTTTCCTGGAGGCTTAACACCTTCCTGTTCATAGGAAGTGGTGAATAAATTCCTTGTTATGCTCTGGTGGAATGTGTGGCTTTTGCTTTCCATATCAAACTGTCTTCAAGCCCTGGAGTTTTCCCACTTTTACTTTTCTGATTTTCTCCAATTTCACCAGGCATGAGTGAGAGAACAGTTGTGTGGTGTTCAGTTGCCAGCTGGGTTTAAACCACAATAACAGTACATTATACAAACAGTTAATGATCACTTAAAAGTTGATTGCTGAAGAAAAAAATAAAAAAAGACACATTTACATTAAAAATCTTGAGTCACCTTAATCTAGTAGTCACCCATATGCTTGCCTTACAGACTGGAATGCAGCAGCTATTTGAACTTGGACAGTACATGAGGAAACGATATTCCATCTTCTTGAACAGCACATACAACCGGAAAGAGGTATTGAGCAGATCTATCAGCAGGTTTCTCTGGCATAGCAGAAATACGGACTTATAAAAGCACATTTTCATACTCATTTCATTAATGGAGAAATTAGGCAATAGAAGAACATTTTTGAAAGTCAGACTTACGTCAAGGTAAAAAACCAGAATAAAGTCTAATTTTAAGCTCTTACATTTTGTTTGAGTCTTTCACAACCTAATTTTCCCAAACTGAACAGCTCCATGATGAATGAGTTGGGAATTTATACAGTGACCATTATTGTTTTGGTCTGTTGAAAGATAAATGCCTATCCTGTTATGTGATGGGCCATGCTTACATACTTCCTCTTGTAACAGAGAGGTCTAAGAACTGTTTGGCTGTGCTTATCATACAGTATAGATCCATTGTGGGGAAAATACCTCCACCATTTTGGTCTGTTTAGGAGGCATGCATTATGGGAAGGTATGGAAGACCTTTGCTATGCTTCCAAGAGAAGTTTATGTTTTTGAGTGCTTTAATATTCCTGAGGTATCACTGATAGAATCATCTAGATGGGAAAAGACCTTTATGAATTTCAAGTCCAAATGTTAAACTTTCCACCACCCCATGTCTACATGCAACAATGTCCCTCTGAATTTCAAAAGATAGAAAACATCCTTCTTTGAAATCATGCTTTCTTATTCTTTCAGTTCAGTCTGAGGGTTAGATTACAAATTAAAAGATGCCTTGGAAATTCCATTTGTGAAACTGAAGTAGGGCCCAGGAAAGCTGAGTTATGGTTTCACAGTTTTGTCTTTATGCAAAAATATAAAACTGAAACCAAAAAGTCAGTATTGATAAGTCAGGTAAAATTTCTCCAATATTTTAGAGTTTCCATTTTATCTTTAATTCTTTGCCATTCTATTTTCAGTTTTATATCCAAAGTACAGATTATGATCGCACCATTATGAGTGCCCAGTCATATCTTTCTGGACTCTTTCCACCAACTAGCAGCCAAATTTGGAACCCTGAGCTTCTCTGGCAACCCATTCCAGTCCACATTTTTCAAAAAACAGCAGAGCAGGTGAGTATTGGCTAGATGCATTCCATAATCTCACAGAAGCAAAAGAACATAAAAAAGAAAAATAGCTAAAAAGCATTTTTTAAGCTTTTTGAGTTCAGTATAATAGAAAATATCAAATGCAGCTACTGGCTTACAAGTATATCATAAGTCAACTGTAATAGCTACATGAAAATCTTCCTTCCATAGCTGCAGAATACATGAACACTACAAGGTTATTTCCTCTGACCAGAACACTTTTGGACAGTATTCCAGGGAAGTTGCCCTAAATCTTTACAGGAAACAAGTGCTTTTCTAAACACCACTCAATTAGGCAAATCACCCCTCAACTCTTTGGCAAGTTTTTTCATAGTTTATGCAAGGAATTGAATTTCTACCAGCCACTGTAATGACCTCAAAATTATTACCTTCCTATTCTGGTAGCAGTTAGGCATTCTAATTACAGACAGGAGCTCTTTTACACTCAGTGCTATAGAAACATTTAATGAAACTCTAGCACTTCTCTTGCAGAATAGACCTACCTGCATAATAGGACCTGTAGAAGTTTTACTTCATGTAGCTCTCTGTGGCTGACTCAGGTTTAGATTTTCAGTTCACTTACTCTTGTGACAAGGACTGTGTAAGGAACAGTGTGGCCAACAAGGATAAAAAGCTTGTGAGTGTAATAACAGAAAGCCTCATTTACTTCTGACTTTGAGGACAGACTTCAAGAAAATTTGTACAAACCCCCTATTACATAACTGCCTGTCACCAACATCAGAGGATGGGTTCACTCATCGGGGGCTGCCACACCTCTCTCCCTTTGATGTTGCTCCATTCTTGGAGACCATGCTTGAAAACAGGTACAGAGAGAAGGGGTTCCCACAAACTGGATTATGCAAGTGTGATTCAGCCAGAAACTTAACCCTGTTCCTAAACAGAAAAGAACAGTCATTGTTATTTAAATACGAGACACCAGAGGAAGTCCTTTCACCAGAAGACAAGAAAAACATCAAAGTGGTAAGAGTTTTGGCCACATAATACCTCAAAGCCCTTAGGAGAACCACAATGCAATGAAATTACCTGTTTGAGGAAGGCAAGCTCATTTGTAAGAGTCTCTAGTGCCTCATCACTTCTGTGGCTGCTTCAGGAGTGCGTATTAATGTTTCTCTCAAACACACCTCTGCAGCAACAAAAAATGCCTTTTATAATGCAAACCAACTGGAAAAAAAAACTGTTCCTTTGTTAAACCAAGCAGATGTTTGAAGGCATTTTCAAGCCCCAAGCAACACAAAGTGGGAAACTGAAGCCAGGTACAGTGCTGTAAAAAAACCATAATCACAGTTTATTTTTAAGCCACTGAGTCTATCAGACTTGACAGGCAACAGTACTGAGTACTGCTTAATGAAGCCAAAGGGAGTGGCTTTATTAATAATACCTAGAGAGACATAATTAAGACATACAGCAAGAGAAACATTTGTTATTGTGTAATTAAACAACATTCCCCAGTTTCATATTGCAACTCTGAGCTTTCTTCTTCCAGTGTGCTGCTATTACAGAAAAATTGCACCCTTGGAAACCTAACCAAGTGAAAGTGGGCTAGGGTTAGTTGGTGGTTGCTGCCAATGTCCCACTAGAAACATACTGGAAATGCAATCTGTTAATGTTATAGGATAATATTCGTAGTGAGTCAAAAATGCTCTAGTGATGTCACATAAAGTGCTGAACCAGCACAAGGTTTTTTCTTCACCACGGCTTTTCACTGACATTTTATGCTATATCAGGGATCATTTGTCATTCTGCAATTGATATAAACCATATTTGCCAGAGCTCAGGGTTTGAAGGATTTTTACGTGTTGCTCTGATCAAATATGTACTATCATGTGACCTCATAATGCACACACTTGGAGTAATTAATAGTGAACCATTTACCTAAAGAAGAGCAGAGCCCTTAGGCCCATAGTTTTTTGATATTTCAGGAGAACAAGTTGTCACTCTTGTTTCAAGTTCTGTCTATTAAGCACTACTTAAGGTGGAGTTAAGTTACATCTGGGGAAATGCAGAAAATGAGAGGGAAATTGTAGCTTTTTAAAATTTCTGATCATGGACCCTGACCCATTGCTCAGAGCAATCCCTCGACAGACATGTGCCATTTCTTTTTGCCAAAATCAGTTAAATTGAGGGAAATCAATCTATCACAAAAACAAGCATCCATTGAAAAGTCAAGTTATCACAGTCTATCACCTATTTTAACTGAATTCATGAGTAAGGTACCCAAAGAAAAAATTATTGAGTAGGTCTAGCACAACCATGAATCTGCCTAAAAAATATTACACTGTTAATTCAGCAAAAGAAAAAGCAGAGGGGTGTTGATAATTTTAGAACTATTCTAACTTTTTCTTTTCATGTTTCAGAGGCTGAACTTTCCTCTGCCCAACTGTCCTCGTTTTGATGAGCTTCAGCATGAAACACAAACATCAAAAGAATTTCAAAGTAGAATACAACCATATATGGTAAGAGAAAAAACCCAAACAAACAAAAATCCAAACAAACCCAAGATGTGAGAAAAAGGAAGGTAACTAAGTTGTAGAAGTTTTAGAATTGCATTTTTTCCTTTTGTTAAAATGGAAAAACAAATTGAAAAAAATTAAATCCCTGTTTAGGTTATGTCACTATTGGGTCAGAGATGACACAGAGTCAGATCAGAAGGCAAAGTAGCAAAAGCCCCAACTTTACTGAAACTATTCCTTTTATACACTAGTCTGATATAGATGGACCTGATTGGTCATTTAATCAACACATTTCACATGATTGGCTAATTAACAAGACACCCATTTGTAAACAACCTTATGAGCAAAACAGCTTATTAGAAAACACCAGGTGGAGATTGTTTAGAATCCTTTCTCTCCAGCTCCCTAAAGTTTCCCAGACTGATTTATGGGAAAGCTTATCTTGCTTCCTCTCTCTCTGACCAGACTATTGCATCCACAAGGCAATATTGTGGATGCAATAGATATTAGAGGCAGATATTAGAGAAAGATTCTTCACCCAGAGGGTGGTCAGCCATTGAACAGGCTCCCCAGGGAAGTGGTCACAGCACCAGCCTGACAGAGTTCAGGAAACATTTGGACAATGATCTCAGGCACAAGGTACGATTTTTAGGAATATGATGTGCAGGGATAGGAGTTGGACTCAATGATCCTTACGGGTCCCTTCAAACTCAGTTTATTATGTGACACTGTGAAAATTCTGTGGAAAAGGCTGGATGTTAGTGAATCTATCTGTATGTATGCTCCATATGTATTGAGCATTTGTGGTATACTCTTCATTTTTTCCCCCACAGGATTTTTTACAAACAATGGCAGTTAACACAGGGCTTGAACTAAATCACCTTAAAATACTGGATAATTTCCAGCTCTGGAATACATATGATACTCTACATTGTGAGGTAATAATAAATCAATAGATGCTGGGGAGGAATATAATTCCAGCTTTGGGTTTTAATTAAACCATGGCAATGTGTTTTCACAGGAATGAGTTGTATTGTCTCCTACATTTTTTTCTTTTTTTTTTTTTTTTTTTTATTTTTTTTTTTTTTTTTTTTTTTTTTTTTAATTTGGATCTAAGTTACATTTTAGTGCTTTGGTAAAAGATAACTGAAAAACAGTCTATAAGCTTGGGAGACTGTCACTTCCATTTTGCGTTTGAAGAAATGTTACCATTCCCACTATTCCCTTTTTCCCCTTCCCAATATGGTATTCCCAATAGAATTATTCATCATGATGGCTATAATAGATTTTTGATTTTTAACAGAAAATGAAATTACTAGCTTTAAACTATTAACAGGTAAACATCAAAATACTTAAGATTTTGAACACGAGAGATCACGAAAGATCTATCAGTTAAAAAATTTTGAGACAGAGCTAACAGTTAAAAAAAAGCCCAAACTGACTCCAAGTATGGGATAACTTGGCCCCAGTCAGACTACCAGCAATGAATGAAGGATTTTGAACATATCCTCTACAAACTGAGGTAATGATAAGACATTGTCACTCTTACATGACTGGAGAATGACACTTGTCTCTAACTTCCCAGTGGAAGAACTGGTATGTGGACAACTGTATAGAAGGCAGAAAAAAATAGATATTTATAACCTGAAGACACCCAGAGAAATGAAGAGAAGAAGACATATGTCTGCAATACTTCCCACCAAAAACATGTACAGCAAGAACATATTATACCTACAAGGAATCTCCTTCATTCAGGTGCTTCTGCTCTGCCCATTCACTCACTTCAGGCCAATCCCCATTCCCACAAAATGTATTTCAGGGCCTGCTCTGGAGTAAAACCATACTGTGCAGAGAATTGCAGGACAGCCTCAGAAAGTCTAAATTAAGTAGTGTGAGGATAGTTAATAGGATGATGGAAACCAGTGAATTATAAACATTCTTTTGTTTTCCTTTATCACTAGGGTATTCACAATTACACTCTCCCTGTATGGGCCACTGCAGATGTAATCAACAAGATGGAAAAACTGGCAGAATTGTCCTTACTCTCATTATTTGGGGTTTATAAAACAGAAGAGAAATCACGACTACAAGGAGGTAAATCAAAAAATGCATAGCACTAGGAAAGGAGGAGCTAATTCAACATCCTGTCACTTTACTGATGCAAAATTATTTAAATAAACCTTTGATTTGAGCTATTGACATTGGATGCCATATTAAGTATTCAAATATGTTCTGAACATTAGCACTTGCATGGATAAAATACTGCAACAAGGTGTAAAAATCAATATCTTCAGGTTTTCCAGATTTTTTAAGGGATTAGGACTTTTTAGATATAGAAAATGAAGGGAATAAATCAGACCTTCATGGTTATGATCATACTTGTAGTAGGATAGATTAAGTTGTTTCTCCAACATTTCTTCTAATTGTTTACTGTTGTTTTTTTTCCCTTTGATGTACTGGTTATACATTGTGTCAATACGCTGGCAACACATTTGTAGCTCTGTAAGTGATATAAAGCTGCTCCAAAATAGTCTGATCAGAACAGAAGCTGAGAGATTCCAGTTATGTCTATACTGCAAGAACTACAAGAACTGGGAACTACTGTTTAGCTCCAAAACTGTGCACACATAGACTGTGCTGCACATTCTGACACTACTTAGGATACAGCCCTGGAATTTATCATATGATCCCCAGGTATCCATGAGCAGGAAATCCAAACAATTGAGGTTGATTATTTGCAGGCTGGAGCATTTGAGGCTAGGCTTTCTAATGCACCTACTGTGCAGCCTAGATCTAGGTAAAGAATTATTAGCAGATCCATCATCTAGGCATACACATCACTGGATCAAATATATAGTAATTACAGGCTCCAATCTCCAGAAAATCCTATTAGCTGGCAGATGCCATATCGCATGGTCAGGACTATTTAATATTCACTGGCATACCAGTTACATCCTCTTTCCTAAGAATGATAGAAACTGTGCTTCAGAGAAATTCTGGTGCCCTTACCCATTAGCTTTAGAACACCTTTGGGCTGAAGAAGAAGTACAAAAGAGCTTTGGAAAAAACAAAGAATCAATAATGTGTAACATGTTGGAAGTAAATAGTTAAAATATTTTTTCTTTGGCTTGTAGAGAGGAAGAGAACAGCACAGTTGTTATTATTCCAACACTACAAAAAAAACCCAAAAATTAATGGACAGATCTCAGCATAACAGAACTGGAAGTGTCATTACCACCAGTTCTCAGGATGGTTCTAGACGATTTCCTGTGAATCCTGCCTCTTCACTGGACCTGGATGATGAATCATATATTTCTCCTCTGTAATACCTTCTTTGTAGTTACAAAATTGTAGTAAACTAAAAAATTAGTATGAGGCCTGAGTAGATGTCTTATATTTGATACTCACAATATTTTGTCTTTTTTTGTTTCTATTCAAATATTACACCTTCATTTTCCAATTCCTTTTTTCCTATATTTTTAAGGTGTCCTTGTGAATATTATTTTAAACAGTATTAAACAAGCTGCAAATTCTTCAAAACCAACAAAAATGGAGGTCTACTCTGCAGTGAGTATTTTCATCTTTCATAAATCTTGCTTTGATTTTACCAGTAAAGTAAGTTAAATGAAAGAATAATATACTACAGTTTAATTAAGCTAACAAACTAAACACCAATGAGTACAAGAACAAAGTACAGGCATGGATCTCACCTCAGTTTTAGTTAAAATATATTTGGCAAAGAAAATTATATATTTCATCATTCATTATTCCTACAACATAATGGTGCAGTTTCTATTAGTTGCATTTTCCTGAAGTGTTCCAAAATTACATAGCAGAACTTCCGCTGTGCCTCCAAACCTCACTGTGGGTTCTTTTTTATTACAACTATTATTATTTTATTTATTTTAGAAGGTGAAGAGGCCACTTTCATCAGGCCAAGGTCTGCTTAGCTCATTCATTATTCTGTCTCTAACAAGGGCAAAAGGCAGGGATGAATATGAGAATAAAGCCAGCAGAGAGTGATAAAACCTTCCAGCAATCTGTGTCTTAGGAACATCCTGGAATAGACTTTGTCCCTGTGTTTAGTATCTCTTGACAGACTGTCTTCTATCAACTTGCCTAATTACTTTTTTGCCTAATTACATTTATTCTTTTGGAATCTGCAACATCCTGTGAAAATGATTGGTGTGTTAAAGAAAAAAAGTATTCCCTCTTTTAGTCACATTTTCTGGGTCTAATGAATTTACTATTTTCACTATTTTCTCTCACTTCTTTTCCATATTTCCTTTTCCAAGACAGAGTCCTACCCTATTTAATCTTTTCTCCTATAGAAACTACTTAATATTTCAAATCTTTGTCACTGTCCTTCCTACATGATATCTTTCCTTCTAGTACTATCATGTTCTTTTTGAAGAGGAAAGAGCAGTACATCCAGATTTTTCACTTCTACTTTAATACTGTGAGTTCAAGTATACTGTTATTTTTGAAACTGATCAGCCTAGAAAATTCCAGAACCTGAATAATAATTAAGCCATAGCTGCTAGACTATAATATAAATAGGCTTAGCAGATATATATATACCTAAAGATGCTTGCAAAATTTATGCTCCAAAGTGTTTGGACTTCTGCCTTCAGATTCTCTTGCTATGATCCCTGCAAAAACAGGGATAATGGGTAGACAGAGATCCTATATGTGGGTGGGTAATAGATCCCATAAAAATAGAAGCCAAACTGGGATTTTGTTGTATGAGTCCAAGTAGAAGGAACAATAGAAAAAATTCTGAAGTGGAAGAAAGGAGAATAGTCTTTGCACACAACTATTTGTTTGGTATATTACCTGAAAAAACATACTTGTACCTTCACTTGAAATGCCCTAGATGATACTACTGTACACTGCCTTAATCTGACCTTGGAGCAAAAGACACTGCCAAAGGAAGAAAACGAGAAAATGGACTGAAAAACTAGATTTATTACTCAAACAATTTCTTGCTTTTCCTCAGTATCTGTCTCCAAAATCCTGCCAGATGGTGTAAGACACATACTGCAGTAACTCTTTGGAAATGCCTCCTGCTGTCTGTAGTAATCAGTTAACATGTTTTTCCAATGGTGAATATACTGAACACATTTTTATGGTCACAGATTTTTTGTTTATCTCGATTTCCACTCCCTCTCTACTCTTGTCTCGTAACTCTGGATGAATGGTAGTTGAATTAATTGACTGTAAAGGATGGATTTTTTTTTTTTTTCTCTAATAGCACGACACCACAGTTGGGGCCCTCCAGATTGCTCTCAATATTTTCAATGGAAAACTGCCACCATATGCTGCTTGCCAGTTTTTTGAACTCTACCAAGAAAGCAATGGGCAAGTATTGTCTTACTGATGCAAGAAAGAGTGTTTAGACTTTGCTATTCTCTTCCCCAAAACCATTTTCTCTCAAATATTGTGAGATGATACAATTTTGATTTAAAGATACTTCACTAATAGCCTATAGACACAAAGTCATATTAAAACTAGGGAAAATTACATTTTCTGTAAGTGCATGTATGCTTTGAAAGACAGGAAAAAGAGGTAAAACAAGCCTTATGAGAGGGAAGAAAATGGTAAAATAAATTTTTCTGATTCTTCAGATGATAGCACAAACATTTCCAAGACATAACTCCCACATTAAGCCAGTTGGCTTAGAAAAGCCCAGTGCTGGTTTCATTCAAGGAGCCTGCAAGAAGACCTTTTCAGCTGTTGATCTGTGCAGTTAAATAACCAGCTTTGGCAAAGTGGGCTTTGCAGATGTCTTTCACAAAGCCTCCACTCTTGGAGAACAGGTTCTAGAGTAGAATGTTAGAGCCTATTTCCAACGTGCTGTGTCAAAGTAGGAAACCTTCTATTTAAGAAACCTTCTATTTAAAAAACTTTTCAATATTGTTCATCAGGCAATATAGCATCGAAATGCATTATCGGAACGACACTTCCAAGGATCCTTATCTCCTCACTTTGCCAGGGTGCACCTCTTCTTGTCCACTTGAGAAGTTTGCTGAACTAGTTTCTCCTGTGATTACAGAAAACTGGTCAAAAGAATGTGGGAAGAAAGACAAAATGAAAGGTAGTGTAACAGTTCTGTATTTTCCACATAAGACATGGAGGCAGATATTTTATCAGTGGCTTCAAACTTTGTACCTTTCACACAATCTATAGATTTCCCTTTAAGACTGGGCCAGATATACTACGGACAGGGAATGTCAGTAGAAGTTAAATTAGCATATTCACAAAAGGTGCTGCCTAAAGGCCATGGTCAAAACTAGATCTCCACTTGTTGAAGATGTCTAAGAGTAGTGTGGATGTGGGTGTTATACAAGGGTCCTGTTCATGTTGGATACATCAGACTTTCTGCAAATGCAAAGCAAAAATGGCCTGCAAATGCATGGAAAGATTTGTGCATCTGTATTTCTGCAGTTGTACTGAGTGCAGCTGATCCATGATCTACTAACAGCTGAGAACTGATAACCTCTTCCTGCCTGAATATTATTTCTGGGAGGGAGGAGAAAAGCAAGGCAATATATGTTACTTTTCAATAGTCCCATTATTTCCCCTATCCTGCATATATTCACCATTTTGCTGATCCCTGATGAAACTATTTTTCTTTTTTCATTAACTACACATAGGCCCTCCTGCCCTATGGAAACATTGGAGTAAGATTTACCTATACACAGAAAGCAATCTATAAATTTCTAGGATTGAAGTATATGTTCTTATCTTGCATGTCAGTAAATGTAATCTTGCCAGAAATATTTCCATTGTACGTATATGTAATTAGACTGTTAGCTTTGCATAGAAAATGGCATACATATATGTCTTTCATTAACTCCCTTTTCATTTATTTTTTGTTCTTCACAGATATTTTTATTGGATTTAATGTTGCTGTTGGCTTGTTGTCCATTTTTAACCTTGTACTGCTCTACCTCCTTTATCATTATGGACGCTGCAGGACAAGAAACAACTACCAAGACATTTAAAGCAGAGGTAAAGAAGTAAAAGTAAGAGCAGCTAGACATCAAGGAATACTTGAAGTGGTTGATAGCCATCAGTTTGCTCTGGTCAAAATAATCTCCAAAGCATATTCAATAAACCTGAACAGCTGAGGTTATCTGTGGCCCAGCTCCTAAAATTCTACGCATCTGCAGCGAGAAATACTGTAGAAATACACTATTTTAGGAATTACTGGATGGATGGAATTATTCCAATTTATATCTTTATTCTACTACTACTACTATTAATCATTTTTACATTAACCAGTGGGGTGAAGGAATGCCTATGTTTTTTTTTCACACTGCCAATTACCATTTAGCCCTCTGCTGCTCAACAGGTCTTGCTTCAAAACTGCATTCTGTAACATTCACCTTACTTCCTATAAATGGCTATTTTGTTGATGCACAGGAAAACAGTTTTAGTGAGCAGAAGTTGCAATTAATGTATGAAAAAGACTCATACCAACATTTGGACATATTGTTCCTGCACGTATTAATGAAAATTTATGCATGAGTTTTGACCTTGGCCTTCAGCTAATAAAAGCCTTTAGCCTGCTCTTTACATCTTTTCTTTTACATCTCTATAGCTCTAACTGAAATTAGTAGAACTGGGATGATCTCTGTCACATATCCAGACATCAAGCAAGAAGCTTAGTGCAACAGGATCTTGGTCAATGTCTGTAACTTCAATAATATGAATTAGTAAATATATCAAAATTTATTTTCTGTTGCTACATTGTTTTCCTATTTTTCTGAGCTCCCAGTCATGAATGATCCTTTGTTCTGTGTTTCTTTGAGCCACTCTTAGAATAAGTCCTCAAGCTATCACTCTCCTCATTATCTTTTATTTTAAATCACAATAACTCCTTTAACTCCTTGCTCTGTTCACAATCCTCTATGTTAGCAAGATCTACAATAAATGTAAAAAAACAATGATTCTGCTTTTTGTATGCTGATCTCTTCTGTGCAACATATTTTGTTTATATTGTGAGCTTTTAATGTCAGCGAATGTGTTTCTGTACTGCTCTTGAATGTCACAAATTATATGCATAATAAGCACTAATATTGCTGTATAAAATGCTACTTATTGTCATATGTTTCAAGACTGAATCAAGACTTTCATCCTGTAGTCCTGCAGAGGATACTGTGAATTACAATACCTTGGAGAAGTCTCTTGAAAAATCAAGACAACCATACAAACAGCTGGCAGCAGCAGGGTCAGCCCATAATGTGCTGAAGCTAAGGTGTCCTGCTGAGATTCAGAAAGAGAGAAAGCTGAGGGATGGAGCTGCTTAACTCAGACATAGCATCACAGCAATGTGAATACATTGCTTCTGAACTGACTTTCACTCACATTCTGTAGGTTGCAACATGTAGCCCAGAAGCCTCAGTAAGCTATCACTGAGAGAGTGATCTAGAGATCAGCCCTCAATATTGCAGCTGAAAAGTGATATAATTATATATAGTGATATTAAATATCATATATAAAATAGCATAAGTCAGAGTAACAAATGCTTGTGGGAATATAGCACTTCCCAAATATTGCATTTCTTGTAATAACTTTAGCTACTGAAGTGTCCAGCTTTTGAAAATTATTTCTCACTCAGTAAAATACTTTTAGTAGTATCCACGACATTTCCATTTTATCTATTTTAGGAAATATCATAATCAACTGGTGAATTTGAGTCTTACATGTTCAGGATTTTTATTGTATATCAGGTTGCAAAGCAGTCAAAAAGATGAAAGACTGTCCCTAAATTAGATGGTTTAGATGTACAAGCTTCAGATTGTAAGTAGTCATTTTGATCCTCATGCAAAAACTTGAAGGAATATCTATATTGCAGTAAAAAGTATTAAAGCAGCTCTAGGAGACAAACCTGAGTTGGCTTGGTTACTATTAGAAGTTTACTCAAGTTGGAGAAAAGTTCAGAACAAACTGCAAAACCCATGCTCCTGTATGTGTGTGTATATATATATATATATATATATATATATATATACACATAGTCAGTGGTTACCTGATACTGAGCTCTACATTACCACAGCCATAATGCTGGAACCCACTTAAGGATAAATTATGGTTTTTTATTAGAGGAAGTCAGATGCTTGACAAATGAAGATATATCGACTGATAAAGTGCAGTAAGAACCAGTTTTGAAATATTAGAAAATCAGTTGATTGCACTCCTCAAGAAGCAGAATGGGACATGTTTTTGTAAGATTGCTTCTTACAAAAAGAAGTAGATTCAGACAGAAAGTAAAATGTGAAGTGTCTGAGACATCTTGTATGGTTTATACTGCCCAAGCCTAAGTTGTAACAAAGAATTTCAAAATATAAGGCAATTCTTATTGCAAGCAGGAGCTGGCAGGAAGGAGTTTTATTGTAGGAACACCTTTCTGTTATTAGATAGTCATACTTGAAAATGCATATGCACTTTTAGGAAGGATCCAGTGAACACAAGTCACAGAGAATGTAATGACAGGTTCAGATGATGTAACTTCAGAATTAATGAGGGTACATAAAAGATGTAATAACTTAGTAACGTAGGCCCTGAATCTCACTTATAGGAAAGATGTTTTGTCTTGCTGTGTTTAAATCAAGTAAAATTTCTCCAGTGGAGTAAAAGGTTGTACATGTAGACAAGTTTAAAGCTTTTTTTTTTATTTTTTCAGCCATATTTACAATTTGCTTAGTATAATCTGCAGACTGTTTGTGATTAGAAAATATTTTGTCTCCAAGCAACTTGTGGCACTGCAATAAAGTACTTTAAAGAAACAATTCAACATTTGCCATTTTTTCTTATTGAAAAACAATGGAGCTTTCTGTACCTCTAGAATTTCCAAACAATAGTAAACGTTCATATTTGTTGCTTCAATAAGAACAGATTTTAAAACACTTCTGCTTTGATATGAATAAAGTTGATGGCATGAAGCTCTTCAATTTGCCCTCTAGCAGTGACATCATCTGTCTCTACAGTAATTACAGTAGCAACTAGACACTGCAGCAGGGTTTTCTGGTGCCTATGGTAGATAGACAGTAGTGCACACACAGCACTTTTCACCTCAGTCAGCAACAACCTCCTCTCACTGAATTGATTTTATTTGGGACACTAATTAGACACTAATGCTTCTTCATCAGAAATTGCCAAGTATTAATACTCAGATTGATAAACATGAGTTGATATTGAAATAAGAGCATATGACTTGAACTATTACATTACATGGTCTCTTTTATGACTAGGCAACTTCACCTTCAAAGGGATTGGAGCACTGGAAAGACCGACCTGCAAGATCACGTGTAGGACATGAGGTCAGATGGAAAAACAGTTTAAAAGACTAAATCCTGTTTTGCTAATGTCTGTTAACATCTCTTGTAGAAAGCTACTTCTTCTCCTGAGAGTCAGTGCATTATCAATTCTTTCCATCCTGCAGACGAAGGTTCCAGTCGTCTTTTAAAAAACCTGTAAAAAGCAGGATAATGCCATTTATCAGCTCAAAGTAGATAGAGACAAAAAAAAATTGTCTTGGCTTCATCTCTGTATATATATAGCTGCAGTCATGTGCATGTCCAAAAAAAGGTAATTTCTTTGTGCTCTGTTTACAGCAGCTAAATCTCTTGCTCTCCTCCTACAGTGAGCCCTTGACTTCAGAGGACACAATTCTCCTAGCTCATCTACCCTATAAGCTAAAAAGTTGTAAAGGGCAGTCTGATCATAAAGTCTTTTCTTTAGAAAGATGAGAAAAAAAGTGGACTGTAATTTAAGGTCCAAACAGGTAAGCTTTCCATCCTCAATATACAAGTGTTGACAGCTTTTGGATCAGTAATTACAGGCAGACTACCAAAATTCCATAATACCCACAACTATTTTGAGCTGTCTGAGGACAGTGCCAGTACTTCTTAGAAGTGGAGCTCCTTAATTCTTTCCATTCTAAGGCATTCTCACAGTTTCTCCTGGCTGCTCTTCAGGAAGCAGCAAGAACTGAAACATATTTGAAGCCTACACCTTATTCAGAATTTTTGAAACACATGCATTTAAGATTAAAATAGATGTAATTAGTGAATTACTATTTTACTTGTTGTACAACAGTTTTCTTCACTTGTTTCATTAGAATCTATATACAGAGATACATTTACAGCATGGACTGACTCCTCCAGGGCAGTCAAATGAACAATTCAGACATAGCATGTTACATGCATATAGATGAGATAATTTGCTACTGATACAAGCAGCACTACATGAGAATCTTCTGTATCCTCTGTAATATGGTGGTGGAAGAGAGCTTTATCAATCCATTACCCACAACAAACAGACTCTTCTTTTCTTGGTACAAGAAGATGTAGATGAAAAAGCACAGTAATCTGAAATACTCTTCAAATAAAGACATAGAAGTCTCCTTTTGCTAAATGAAGGCCTAATTTTTCACTTCATTCAGTTAAATGTTTGGAAAGAAGGATCTCAAAAAGACAGGCAATACTAAACCATGCATGCTGTGGTTAGCTCATCTGCAGCACAGTTACTGAGTTGTCTTCTCTTGTAAAGCTATTTGCTTTCACCTCTGAGTTACTGATAGGATATAGGTGAAGGACAACAATAGAGTGAGTACTATAAGCATAATTTTACATATTGTGATGACCAAAATATTTGGCCATATATGTGAACTGAATGAGCCATTAATTCCCTTGAACTCCTTGTTCTAACTACCACACTGAACCTGAGTGTATGCACCAAGCATAATCTCTGTTGATTTATCTCTCTTCCTTTCTGACCATACATTCAGTAATATAAATATTATAAAAAAAACCCACTAGCTGGGCTGCTTGGACTGTTGTCTGGTTGAGGTTTCACTATGGTTTGAATGCCAACCCTCTGTAAAGACCACTCTTCATTATGAAGTGCTGTTGTCATTAGTGACTCCCTGACTTGAGCCCTAAGAAGAATCCTATATTCTGAAGCATTGCCAGCCAGAGTACAATTACTTAATATTTAT